CCGGAAGATTTGCAATTTGTGTAACTAGATATAAGATATAGCTTTCTTCGTGAATTCTGCTCTATTGCAATGAAGAGGTCAATACTATTTACAAATGTCGAGTCTATCCTTAACCGCCACCGCAATTCTATTTGAAGAAGTTGAAATCCTTGAAAGTCTCTAAAATTTGACCCCGTCCAAAATTAAAGACATATCGTGTCACGTGTGAAACGCAACCTTAAATGTGTTATTAAGGCTGCTTCTCACGCCTCTAAAAAGTTTAAAAGTCAACCGACAAAATAGTTATTCCAGTTTTTGTAACGTGTATCCCTCATTCATACGTTTATAACAAAAGACAATTTTTCCGATTTTATAAGAAACCTGCGAGAACGCTATTGCCGTTTTTGTTTTGTCACTTGTCAAAATTACTAAAACCTATTTCGAAAATATCAACGAAAAACTATCCGCTTAAGGGACATGCATATATATAATAATAATTACATGATTAAAGGCATTGTCCGATTTAGCTCTGCGGTCAAGGCGACAAAAATCCACTCGTTTGTCCGGGGTTCAAACCCCGGCTCGGACAAAAATTTTATTTACGAAAAAAATAAAGCGACGCGACTCATGTTTGAAGGTACTTTTAAAATACGCGGGAAAAATATTTCCGCACGCCTCGCGGAAAATTATAACCCAGTGGCGTGCGCGAAAGCGGAAAACCGATTTAATAAAAAGAATTCGATAACACCCCGTATAATATTTACGTGCATTTCAACGTAACGGCGCACAAAACTTTTCGACGTCATTCGTTATTACGTATACCGGATCTGCATATTCGAAAGCGCTGTCGTCGCACAATGGCCGTCGTCTAGTAACGATGTTTGTGCACGCCATTTAAAATTCTGACAGCGCGTTTTATTAAATTTAATTCGACGCGGAAAAAATCGCTTGAGCGTAGAAAATGCGGACGGGCCACGCACGCACGGTAATTAATTGGCCATTGACGTAGATTTATCCGGAAACCGGATACGACGTACGAGGTGTCCGGAATAAGGTTTCCCACCACCGTGACTCAGAGATTACGATTTTTTTAATTTTTAATTTTACTTTTATATAATTTTCTTTCTTTTTGTTCTCGTTTTTAATTAATTTATTTATTGGTTTCTTTTACTGGGCATACATTACTTGTTATTGCATTTTGAGCAGTAGGTAACGATATGTTTACTTTTTTTTAGTACTAAATTTGTCTTAATCGGTGTAGTTAGAAGTTTATGCGCTATTTACTTAAACTAGGTTTTAGTCCGGTTTACCGGAGTTAATTTTGAATAGCCTTAGGCTAGACTTGGCCCTGTATATTTTTATAATATTATTAATATTACTAATGGACTAATGGAATATTTAAAGTCGATACATCCTAATATACCTTCTACGTTTATGTTTATTTATTTTAGCAAATTGCCGTCTGAGATACAGCATTCCATGCATATACGGCAAAGGATACATTGGAGAGATCGGACGAAAAATATCAACTAGACCCAAAGAACATCAAAGAACCTAAAAACTACACTCGTTAGCAATTGTCGAACACAATCATCAAAAAACCGAACATCAAATCTTATTCGATAAATCCAGAACATCTTTTTTTTCATTATACAAGCTACAAAATTTTTGGTATTTTTCAAAAAAAAAAAATTAAGACCTGTTACGCTGCAAAGCAAGATTGCTACTTTTCTTTTGTATTCAGTAAGCGTTGCCCGCAGATTTTCTTCTTCAGAAATAAGTTCATTTACGAATATCTCGATATTATCGACGTGAGTGTCGGAAGTTCTTTGCGTGACGTAACATCTGAGTAGTCAAACTTATCGAATGTTGCAGTAACTTCCCGGAAAAATGCGAAAACACACGTACAAATGGCAACGGCGGGTGTCGTAAGGCTTCGCGCCGGATCCTCCATCATCCGGATGGTTTTGCAGGCACAAAGGACCGTTCACACTCTGCGCTCGCGGCTTTCGCACAAAGATCCGCCGCCATTGTTACGTTCCGCGCGGCTCGTCGCTTGTAGAAAACGGCGGCGGCTGTTATTCCGCGTCGATTGTTCCCCACGCTATACGCACTCGACAGCAGCTAGAAAGGACTTTTCGCGTCCCGGGTTACGCTGCGAATTCTTCTTCTTTAAAATTTTCATAAAGATGCGATATTGTCTCGACTTTTCATTTCTTTTCTTTCGCTCATGTCATAGGTTAGGAAAGAATATTTTTATTTTATTAATTTTTTATTTTTTTTTTGAAAAAATAAATCGCATTTGTTGACGGCGTAAATAGTTTAAAAAGGGGTCCTAATATATCCTAAACCAATAAAACCAAACTAATATGAATTATATTATTGTATATATATTAGAAGTTTGTTAATGGGTATATAAAAATAAAAATACCTTACAAAAAAACGGAGATTTCCACGACTATAATAAATATATATAAAAACAAAAATTTAAACAATAAAAAATATATAAATAACAAAAATAAAAAATATATTTTACGAACGCCGGTATTAGAGTCTACAAAAGATTATCCTCAGAGCTACAGAGCAATAGTAATGTAAACATTTTTAAATCTAAATTAAAGTTTTCCTCCTAGAAAACTATTTTTATAATTTAAACGAATATTTTACCTATTAATGTTTATCATCACTCTAGTGTGTGTGTATATATATATATATATATATATATATATATATATATATATATATATATATATATATATATATATATATATATATATATATATATATATATATATATATATATATATATATATATATATATATATATATATATATATATATATATATATGATGACACTATATTCCGGGATATCATCCGTTCGCTCGTTGAGCTCCGACTGGAATCCTGCAAATCTTGCATCCGACTGGAATCCTGCAGACGTTTCGCCAAAACCTCACTTGGCATCTTCAATGCTCGCGCTCCGAAAACACTTCGAACACGAGTGTTCTCAAAATGTCAAAATGACAGCAGTGCGCTATTTTGCTTATATTTTTTTAATGGTAAGAGGGGCATATGATATCTGCTTTTAAGGACTTTCGAAAATATTTGATTAGTCACTTTTTGCAAGACGGTCAAACGAATTCTCGCAAATGTTTTATTACTATTGAATTGCTTAACCGTAGCCTAAAAAAAAAATAAATAAATAGTTTCGTCATTTTATCAACTGTTTTATCAAATGTTCGAAATTATCTGTTTCAAAGTCTTTCGGATTGTCAACCGAATTTGGTTTTGTAACATAAAGTTCGATTTATACACAACTCGATCGACAGACCTAACACCCCTGGGACTTCTGTCTTTGGGGATATCAAAAAATGAATTTTAATTAAAAAGTTGATAAAGTGATGAAACTATAAGGTTGTTCGGAAAGTCATTTCGTTTTTTCCCGTCAGAGGACTTAATTACGTTTTTTCGAAACCAACTTCACACTTAAGCCGCATAACCATTATATGTCTTGAGAGCTGATATTGCAAGGCTTGTGTGTGAAAAAGTTCTATTAATTCTACGCAGTAGTTTTTGGTTGGTGCCCTTTTAAATATGGAGAGCAATAAGCAGCATTTTCGTCATATTTTACTTTTTTACTTCAGAAAAGGTAAAAATGCTGTCCAAGCGAGAAAAAAATTGACGGATGTGTATGGAGAAGGCGTGTTAACAGTACGCCAGTGCCAGAACTGGTTTGCAAAATTTCGATCCGGCAATTTTGATGTCGAAGATGCACCACGGTCTGGAAGGCCGGTCGAAGCTGACAAAGATGCGATAAAGGCATTAGTTGATGCAAGTCGGCGAATAACCACACGAGAGATCGGTGAGAGATTAAATTTGTCAAATTCGACTGTTTATGGCCATTTGAAAGGCATGGGCTTAACCTCGAAGCTCGACGTGTGGGTGCCCCATGTCCTTACGGAGCGAAATTTGTGTCGTCGCGTTGACGTGTGTGATTCGCTCCTCAAACGTCAAAAAAATGATCCATTTTTGAAGCGGATTATTACTGGGGACGAAAAATGGGTTGTATGCAACACTGTTAAACGCAAGAGGTCATGGAGCAGAAAAGATGAACCGGCTCAAAGCGTGTCAAAAGCCAACATTCACCAAAAAAAGGTGATGCTCTCCGTTTGGTGGGATGTCAAAGGAATCGTTTTTTTTTTAGCTTTTGCCGGACAATACAACGATTAATTCAGAAGTCTATTGTCATCAACTGGACAAATTGAATGATTCACTTAAAGAGAAGAGGCCCGAATTAATCAACAGGAAGGGTGTTGTGTTCCACCAGGATAATACGAGACCTCACACAAGTTTGGTCACTCGCCAAAAACTTTTACAGCTTGAATGGGACGTACTGCAACATCCACCATATTCTCCAGATCTGGCGCCTTCAGACTACTATTTGTTCCGGTCCCTGCAAAATTTTTTGGATGGCAAAACCTTTACCTCAAATGAAGATGTCAAAAACCACCTGAACCGGTTTTTTGCCAGCAAGGACCAAAACTTTTATGAGAGGGGAATTATGTTACTGCCAGAAAGATGGCAAAAGGTGTTGGACCAGAATGGCCAATATATAATTTAATAAAATATTTATTCATTATACGAAAACTGTCTTTCATGTTCCCCAAAAACAAAACGAAATGACTTTCCGAACAACCCAATATTTACTTTTTAAATATTATAATATTGAAAATCGACAAAGAGAAAGGGAAATGAATGAGCCAATGAATGATTACAAGAATAACATCTCGATGCTAGTTTAATGAAGATGTTTTCGGTTTGTGTTTGTGAATTGTGAGAGCATTAGCATTAGGGTTCGCACTATTCAGGAGATTTTTTTCATAAAATGCAACAAGCAAAATGGACGAACACTGCAACAAAAAAAACGGAACTCTATCTTTTGCCCTCTTCACTGCGATGTCGATAACCCTACGGTCGTGCCAACTAAACTTCGCGTGCAGTGGGTTATTTTTGGTTACAGATTTGAGTAATACGGAGGGAATGGAGCAGAAGGAGGAGGAGGAGGAGGAGGCGAACGGCTTCATCTCGTCGGCAGACAAACGCGCATTGTCGATGTTTGCTCGCTGGGGTTCCGTCAACAGCATCGGCAAGGAGCGATCGCCCATCAGGAGCGGATATTCCGCGGGATCGATGGAGTCAATCAGGTGAATATTATCCCCAACCTTCCCCACTTCCCCGTCCTCTATAATAATGCAGTCATCCATTCTTAAAACAGCATGACGAAAGAAGTGTCATACAATATTTTAAAAATATTTATTAATTAATATTTTATTTTATATTTATTCGTCAAAATATTGTTTTATTTGCTTAAATAATAAAACGCCCATTTTGATTCGATGGAAACTGAAAAGAAGTTGAATGTGGGAGTACAGGAAAAAATAACAAAATACATTGTGTTAAGTTCAATAAAGGAGAGGTATTTAAATCTAATCGATCGTTAAGCAATACATTTGAATGTCTCATTTTGTTAATCTCCATGGCTTCCAATAAATCTAATTTTCTACTTTTTGTGGCTGTATGTAAAATATCAAAATTGTAGTCAAAAATGGGTTTCTCTGTGTTTAAGCATAATTAGAATCCAGACTATTGCTTTTAAACGCTCCCTTATGTTCGCCAATGCGTTTCTTGAAGGATCTACCTGTTTGTCGAATATAAATTTTAGGACAAGATCCACATTTCAACCTGTAGACACCTGATTTTTGAGATTTTGGACATTTCGTTTTATTGTGTTTTAATTTTTTTTCCAACACACACACAAAACTAGGAGGAGAACTAGTTTGTTTTTAAACCAACTTTCAAATCAATCAGCGGTGCTGTCTTCATGGTAATCGTAATCCAGAGGAGAATCTTTAATATTTTTCGCAGACAGAGAAAGTGCATTTGGAATCCAACCATCTTTGGAGCTAGCATGCAAAATAGTTATTGTTTTAACTCTTTTTGATGGTGCGTTTGTTTTACACTTATCAGTTGAGTCAATATTGGAATTTTCATCAATGTTTGACTCAACTGATAAATGTAAAACAAACGCGCCATCAAAAAGTGGTAAAAGAATAACTATTCTGCATGCTGGTTGGATTCCAAATGGACTTTCTCGATGTGAAAATAATGGAGTCGGGCGTTGTGAGAAACAATTGTAATTAGATAACTTTCGAAGTAGTGAGTTACCTGTTTATACAGAGTGTTTTACGTTTTCCGGCCAACTTTCCAACTTTTTCAGCACCCAAACGAGGAGTCGCATGCTGGGCCAGCCCCTGCGGTGGGGCTAAAAATGGCGTCCCGACGACGACGGCGGCGCCTCTGCGTGACGTAACACCATCATCAAAATGAAATTCCTACACAGGGTACGATCGTAACAACGAAAAAGGAACAAAAAAAAAATAAGAACGCTACGCCTTAAAAACGACCCCCCCTTCCCCCGACAACGGCCCCCCTCGCGCGAATGGCGTTAATCAAGAGTCGAAACAAGACGCATTAATTGGCCTCCGCGTTTAATGGCGTCGCGAAATTTTTCTAATTCAAACAAAACGTTCTTAATTGTTACGCAGGGGCGAATAGACGTCCGCCATGATTAACAAGACTGCGAATTTATCGTTTTTTTTTTGTAACGCTTACTCGCTCGCAAATATCGACATCCCGATACGTTTCTTCTTCTTTTTAACAGTCAAGTATGAAAAGAAGAAGAGGAAGAGTTCAGTTGATAATTTATCCGTTATTCCCCACTTTGCTAGGACGGTGTTTCGGTTAAAAGTAGAAGAGCCGATTGACCTAACCTTCCCCAAGGCCCCTCGGCCATTTAGCGCTCGTAACGGTATCACAAGCTCGTAACTGAACGGTTTTAGTTCAAAATTTAGTAAATCGCCACATTGATGGGACCGTATTTCAGCTAAAATTTAAAAATCTGATTGGACTTTCAGCCACTAGTAAGAGTCAAGTATACCCCGAGTGTTGTGTCGTTTGGTGTTAGTGTTGTTTCTACATTTTATGATTAATTATTATCTCTAAATTGTCGTGCTAAGTTCACCTAGTTAAAAATTAAAACGTTTGGATTGCGTGTTGCCAGTGCCCGTTGGGCACTGGTAAAAGATACAAGGAGAACCAGGACATCTCCACCACATCTTGTTTCTTGTCCTTGGAGGGTGAGGGTGAAATCCTCTTCTTCTTCTTTTTCGTGTTCTTTTTATAAGGCTTTTGCCTTGTACTCTGTAGTGACCATCTCTTGTAATTTTCGGCAGTCTGTGGTCATCGGGACCATCGTACAATATCAAGGACACTGCAATGTCTTCGCTTCTTTTGTGGTCCCTCAGTGTTTCTACAGTATATATATATATATATATATATATATATATATATATATATATATATATATATATATATATATATATATATATATATATATATATATATATATATATATATATATATATATATATATATATATATATATATATATATATATATATATATATATATATATATATATATATATATATATATATATATATATATATATATATATATATATATACATATATATGCTGTTTTATTGAATTCTATAGACTTTTCAGCAATCTGCCTCATTGTAAAGATTGCATCTATTGTTGACCTATTTTTTCTAAAGCCTTGTTGCACCTCACACGTACATAATACGTGCTGCTCCTGTAATAGTTCCTCTCCTCCGTACTTCAGCAACTCGTTGGGTATTTCATCTTCTCCGGCAGACTTGCGGTTTTTTAGTTTAGGTCCATGGTTCCTGAGGGATGCCAAGGTGTTCTTTCTCACTGTGTACTGGATTAGTGTCAGTTACCCACACATCTTGAACTGAGGTGGCCTTTATTTGATGAAAATCCATTTATCAAAATAAATAAGAACTAAAAGTTCAGATTTTCACGAAATTATATATTGTCACATGACAATTGTTTCGACAACACCGTGTCTTTATCAAATATTTGATAAAGATACGGTGTTGTCGAAACAATTGTCACGTGAATATATATAATTTCGTGAAAATCTCAACTTTTAGTTCTTATTTATTTTTACACACACATCCGTTGCGAAAATTAGAAACAACGTTATTAATAATTAATAATACGTAAACCGAATGCGGGCAATAATGAGGCGGCGGTCGAGAGCTTGTTGACGTACCGGTTGTTTACAACAAACTCGAGTGTCGATATTACATCGGAATTCGGTGAACCACAACGCGGGAACCAGAAACGCAATATAAATCGGGCGATTAAAGGCGGCCCGACAGCAATAAGGGCCCTTATCTGGGTCACAGTTTACCGAACAATCATTGTTTTGAAATAATTTGACACGCCAAAGACTGTACCGCGATTTACGGGTGAAATAAGCCAGAACTTAAGGGACGTAAGGGAAAGCGCGACTAGAAACGCCAGATATACAGTGCGATTCATAAACAATGGACGATCGCATAACTGGAAGTGCTGGGTGTAAAAATATAATGAAATTTATACTATTACCAAAATTGTTATTTTTAAATAACATTTTTTTAAGTATTTATAAGGAGATATAGAAAAATACCTTGGACTATTTAAATTCAAAATAAGTCGAAAACCGACAGCGTTAGACGGCCATAAAAAACGAAACATTCCTTCAAATTTTCGTCTTTTTTGAATCATAACTCATTTCTCATAAATTCTGATATCTTTTCAAAAAACGATGCCTTGTTTTTCAGAAATTTTGTTCAATATTCTGATTTTAATCGGAAATTCTGACGTATTTTTCATAAACCCACACTTGTCTCTGAAATTCTTTTCCAAGTTAAAAGTTCTGACTTTCGGGAATTTTTCAATTTTTCATAAATTCTGACTTGTTTTTAAGAAATTCTCAAATATGTTTCATAAATTGTGGCTTTTTTTAAAGAAGTTCTGAATTGTCTTTCAGAAATTCTGACTTATTTTTCAGAAATTCTGAGTTGTTCTTCTAAACTTTTGACTTTACATAGAAATTATGACGTATTTTTCAAAAATTCTGACTTGTTTTTCAGAAATTCTGAAATGTTCTTCATAAATTGCGACTTTTTTTTAGAAAATCTGACTTGTTTTTCAAAAATTCTGACTTAGTTTTAATTTTAATGCCTTATACCTAATCTCTTGTAATCTGGAATTTATCTGTCGTTTCGATGTATAGTAAGTGATCGTAGACCTAGGCGTTTAAATATCATTTCTGACAGCTTCGAAAAATGAATTATTAAGAAAGGACAGAACAATGCTTGATAGGTATGATTTGGGTCTTGATTTTAGAGGTAGACATTTTTTTTATTCTAAAAAAGCCCCATTTAGGCGAGACAAACTGAAGCCGCTTTTACACCCGCTCGAAGTATGTTGTGCTGCCTATATAACGAATGTAATGGCGTGTGTCTGGGTCGTCGATATTTGCGACAATATTTATTTTGAGTCGGGACCTCCCGGGGTTCCCTAGAAACCCTTTTAGGGTCCCCCCCAGTGGTCTCGCGTGGCTTGTAATTATAAATTAATAACCTCAGACGTAAGTAATTATATTTGTAATCAGATTTAATGTAAATTATACGCATATATAATATAAATATATCATCAAACGCGAGTTTGTTGTTGCCCTTTTTCCTTCATCCTTCGTCGCTCCCGCATTGGAAGATTGCAAGTCAAGCGCTGTCGGTACTGCGCAGTCCAGAATACCTGAGGTTGTTATTATTATTTATTATTACATGTTTATCAGCCCAAGCGGACGTGGAATGCTCACGACGGGTTTATTGACGTCTCCGGCAATTAGCGATCCCGGCAACTTTGAATTGGTCTGACCCATATTTGTTTCATATTGTTTCTACTACTGCGGCGGGGCGTATTTGCATAACGATAATCCAGTGGCTTACGTGCGAGTCTGCACTGTAGAGTAAAGTTGGTCATCTCGTTGGCTTCGCAGGTTTTGAGGAAATGGTAAGTTGCAAAGATTCATTTTAAAATTCAGAATTCGAATTAAGAGATCAAATATGCTCGTAAATGAATGCAAACGTCATTATTTTTCTCGAGGAAATCGGTGGCGTGCCACCGATGAAAAAAATATCTAGTTAGCCATTAGTGTGCTTTGGAAAACAAACATTGGAAAACTGTACTTTTGACTGTTGCAGTTTTAATGAAATAGTGAGGTGTATATGTTCTCTCGCGAGTACACTGTACTGTTATTTTATCTACTTCTCTGTCTACTAGGATTTTTTATATACATATTTTTTAAATAAAAAAAAAATCGTATAAAACGTACGGGATTTATATAATAATATAACAATCAGTACCATTATTACATTACAAAATTACATCCTATAATGTTGTAGTGTAAGGTACCGTTCGAAGCAGTCACCAATGAGTACGGGTGCAAATATAAAGTCTGTTCATAGATATAAGAAAGTGACCAATTGTTTTTGAATGGGATTATCCAAGGGTGGTCATTAACATACAATACAACAAGATTATTACCTAAAGTTTCGGAATTTAAATTCAGGTAAAATTGTGGTCCGTAATAAAAAATAACTTTATCCCTACCTGTGGTTAACATTCTTTGGTTTGGTATACTACTTAGTTTAAGTTTATTAGTAATCATTCCTATTTCGTGCGTAATACAGCGCGTGTTGAATCGAATTATGCAAAATATGTACTAGTATAGGAAATGCTCCCGCCCAAATGTAGAAAACACTATCCTATTGAGACTAAAGAAGTTATAAACGATGTTTATTTGACTCTCATTGAACGTGGTGCCAGCAAGCAAGCATCTCTAGAAGAAACGGCCACATTGACGAAAATTCCAACGTCAACTGTATGGAAAATTGTGAATAATCCCATTTCAGCGGGGAAAAAAAGAAGCGATGCTGACATTTTCTCGAGTGTAGATGAAAGTGATCAAGATATAACACGGCTTAAAATTTACCAGTTATACGAGGAACAAAGCGTGCCTACATTAGATATCTTAATTAGGAGGCTTGAAAAAGATGAAACCGGTGTTAAATGTGGCAGAACTACCTTATGGAAGTGTATTCAACACATAGGATTTACAGAGAACAGCAAAGGCCAATTATTTACTTGGATGAAGCCTGGTTCGACACTTACGATGAAAAGAGTTGGGTTGACTCAACTGATAAGTGTAAAACAAACGCGCCATCAAAAAGAGGTAAAAGAATAACTATTTTGCATGCTGACTCTAAAAATGGTTGGATTCCAAATGGACTTTCTCTGTCTGAGAAAAATATTCAATATTCTTCTCTGGATTGCCATGAAGACACCACCGCTGATTTATTTGATTTATTGTAAGTTATTACAGTAGACGGTTGACTAAAACCCCTTCCTCATGTGACACAAACGCAACAATCGAAAACCACATGTATAATAACGACATTTATTTCCACGAATATTATACCAAAAAGCGATTAATTGAGGTTCTACAAAGCTTGAACCTACAAAAGGAATACGTCCGTGATAATTATGCAAAAAATCTAGGGCCTACAATTTTAAGACTTCCACAATACCACTGTATATTTAATCCTATTGAACATGTTTGGCACCAGCTAAAATCTGCCATTCGTCGTAACAATGTTTTTCCCCGTGTTAACTCCAATGTCCTCAAACTTATAGAAACCGAAGTTTTTAACATCCCCCCATAAAGTTGGGCAAATTCTGTTAAACATATAGAAAAAGCAGAAAATAATATAGAACAAATAATAATTAGAACAGGCGATAATAGCGATAGTGATACTGATATATTATATGAATGATTAGAAGTAATTTAAGTAGGTAATAAAAATAATTTGTAATTTTATTTTAGATTTAAACATAAATAAATAAATATTGTTTAGTATCTTTCCTAACAAAACCCCAAATAATTAAATTCTAACCAAATTACGGACCTGTTCGGCCATATTTCATTCTTACAGTTTGCCCGGGTCTTTCCTTAATTCGTATCAGTTAGTAACTTTCTTATATCTATGAATAGACTTTATCTGGTATTTGATGGTGTCTTATTGGAGGAGTCACACTTTTATTCAGTTTAGATATCACTGTGCTAAGAAACTCGGTAAAATAGTTTGCCTTTTCAAGGTCATTGCCATTCGGTTTTTTATTTATTAATATTTCATTTATTCGCCTGTTTTTCTTGCTACGATCCAATTTGCTATTTACATATTGCCACATTTTTTGGAGTCAGCATTTTGCAATTGTCTATCTTCGTGCCTATTTTTAGCAGCCCTCAGCAGGAACTTAAGTTTTTTTTCGTATTGCTCCTGTTTAACCAAATCACCTTGATTGTTTTTCCAGGCTTTGTATAATTTGCCTTTATTATTGACTCAATTAATTAGAGCGCCAAAAGCCTCCCAATGAAATGTTTTCAAACCTCGCGAGCTTCGTGAAGCTGCGAATAAGATATTGTACACATGTATAATAGACTGGGTTTTCCATTTTTAAAAAAATACGATGTATGTTAGTGATAGTGTTTTGTTTGTGGAAAAAAACTTGGCTACTAACCCTACATTTGTGTTTTGTGTTTACCTTGATATCTCTGAAAACAAAAAAGTTACAGCCAATTAAAATGTCATCAAGATATATTGATCGGACGTACGAACGTATTTTATTACCCTTTTTTGGCCACTCTGTATATTTTTAAATAATTTTGAATCGTGTATCCTAACAATCTTTACCATTTTCGTATTTGCCATTTTCTGAGATGATGAACGTTGCTCTCCGCCGAGAGTCGGTTTTAATCGACAGCGGAAGATTCCTCCCAAATAGCTTTCGCACATGTTCCAAACCGAACGGCACTTGTTTTAGCCATTAATCCGAATTAACTGTCTATGTTAATTTCGTCGCGTAGATGGCCACCAAATAGGCCAATGATTAGTCAGTGGTGCGATGCCGACGGAGTGAAAATATGCGGGACAGTGATTTTTCGCCCCTCAGGAATCGGGGCCTGTTGGTGATGGTGTCGTTGGCGATGTCGACGGTGTTTTCGCAGCAAGGTGGGGTCGCATGTCAAAATTCACCCGCAGAAACTAACCCTAACTGAGATAACGTTGACGATCATAGGGGAAAATGAATTTAGAATGTATATATGTTATGGAGAATGTAAAAACATTATGTACGAGGGCAGCGCCAAAATTTCCCGGCCTGAATATAAAAGAAACAAAGTAGAGTAACAATTTTTTTATTATTTTTATATTCTTTTGGGTTTTCTGCAAAATAAGCTAAAGCAGCCTCTTTTAACTGAACTCAACGTCGACTATAGGGAGGATGATGATGATGATGATGATGAAGACCGCGCACACTCGACGCGGCGTTGTTTTTGAATAGCCGAAAGGTTTCTAGGACTTCTGCCCCATTCGAAAACATTTGGCCCATTCTTTCACTACAGAATGCGAATCAGAACTTTGGCCGTACACACCATCCAGCCTTACTTTAATAATTTTAGGTGCTAACCCTTCTTTTGTGATAAACTTTATGAATACCGCCATTATCCATTAATAGCATAGATTCTTTATGGGTTAAACAAGAGTGAAGCTATGAACAAAATAATAAGATATTCATATAAAACTAAAGTAACTAAATAAAACAAACAATTCGAACAATTACTCGAACAAAAAAGTACCTAAGTTGAAAATTACATTTGTATTTTTTTTTAATGTGGTAGTCGTTAAAATATTTTCCAACACATAGAGGAATTTCACCATATCCTCGCGTAAAGCAAGTTTCTCTCCTTATGCCGTGATTTTGCAAACTTTGCACCGTTTCTGTTGAATTTTTTTTCCCGAACTTTTAAGTTTTACAAACCCACGTGTTTTTACATCTCCTGAAAGCCTACTTGGTGGATCTTCACTAGTAGCTGTTTTTGATGGGCCTTCAGAAACTTCTGCCTCTAAACCCGCATTTTCTTGATTTTCGACCCAACTTCTAGTAAATAAGAGGTAAATTTTATTTTCTTGCAGTTCAACATAAACATAAAAGCCTTTTTTGTCCATTTGAGACTTTTTCTTATAATAGGATTATAAGAAAGGTATTATAATGTATAATACTTTCTGTTTTTTTAATAATTTCACCAGTTTTCCGATTTATTTTAACGGTTTCTGATATATCTCTGGTCTTTCCATACATGAATTAAAATTTCTTTTTTTTCTACGAAAAACATGATGGCCTCTTTTTAACTTTTTTTTTTATTTTATATGTTAAGGTAACCCACGATTTTCTCTAATTGTACCACATATTCTTGTCTTCCTGGAAAGCAAGGGCTCTGCTAATTCAACACTATTAAAATAGTTATCCAAGTAAACACGGTACCAAATATTTTCATATTTATGTAAAAGATTTATTACGAGATTTTGCAACTTTTGTCCACTTCCGTTGTACAATTTAAAGTTCGTTTTATATGCACTTTGCGATTCGCATAACATTGTGACAAGCGTACCATACTTAGTTAACTTGCCTGGGTTGTAGACTCGGAAACGCAAACAGCCCCGCGGTATCATTGCCTCATCCAATGAAAGATTTCGTTTGGGTTTATAAACTGTGCCGAATTTATTTAAAAAATATTCTGTTATTGGTTTAGTTTTGAAGTGCCGATCTGCGTTTTATGGTGTTTCGTCATTATTACAAAAATGTAATGATTAAATAAAAAATTAACCTATATTTATTCAAAAACTGATAAAAAACCACTTAAAATAAATTGACTGTTTGATGGCACAAAGTTATTCTGTCAAAAAATGTACTACTACGTCAGCGGTTACTGGATTCTAAATAAAAAATGATGTGTTATTACGTCAGCGGCTACTAGATTTCGAACAAAAAATAATGCATTACTACGCCCACCTAATCGTAGATCTTTTTTCCTGATATCGTAACATATAGTTCATTGACATTTGAACTGAGGTGGCTTTTACTTGATGAAAATCCATTTAACAAAATAAATAAGAAATGATATATTTTCACATGGCAATTGTTTCGACAACACCGTGTCTTAAATTTGAACTTTTAGTTCTTATTTATTTCATTGACATTTCATACTTCAGTTTAAGAATAATTATCATTCGAGTTCTTCACAACAGCCACATTGTTTAAAAATGGTCAAGTATGCCTTGATGGCGTATCATCTATGTTTGCAATTGTTTTAATAATGTCCTACATTTGACAACTAACCAAATCTAAATATCTGCAGTGCAAGTTAAATAATTTAAAATATTTCAAAAAAAAATTAAATTAAATTACTGAAATGGGCATAATGTTTCAAGGGTTAAGAGAGGACAAATATATCCGGGTAGAAGCAGAAATAGTCTCACAATAGAAAGAAATTTTGATGAAGACCTCATTTTCTTTAACACTGAAAACTGAAAATGTTGTTTCAGTTGTCAGATTATTTTACATGGCAAGAAGACTTTTGTGTTTAGGATTTTCACATATTGCATAGGGTGTTCGGGATGTTCTGTGCTATATTCAAAAATGTGTTAGGTGTCTCATATTTTTCTTCCGGAATAGCGAACAATCACCCGAGATTTTGCGACGTCATAAAAGCGACATATCTCTTATAATGAAATGATATCCTTTCGAAGTTATGAAGCGGTCCGTTTCAAAATTAGATGCGCCGCAGGCGAGAATCTTCGACCTCTTAAATTCGTCGGAGATCCTGGCGAGTCCACGGGGAATCGAGAAGATCCGCGGCAGATGCTGGGACTCAACCCTCAGCGCCCACAGGTAGGCGACCAATTAATGAAAAAAAAATAGTAGCACGCCATTATTTTTGCTCTCGCCAGCTCTCGGGGGGAAAGTAGGAAAACGGAAATTATTTAAAAAATTGCTAACCGGGCATTTCACGTGGTATGGAACTAAACATGTACCATGCGTTCAATTTATCTTGATAACATTTGAATTCAGTGTAACTTTTTTGTTTTTAGAGATATAAATGCCTGTCTCTTCCTACGAGGGCAGCGCCAAAATTTCCCGGCCTGAATATGAAAAAAACAAAGTAGAGTAAGAATTGTTTATTATTTTTCAATATAATCCCCCTTAACTTCAATACACTTATTACATCTCTTCATCAACAACTCAATCCCACACACACACACACAGAGTTCCGAAAAAGACCGCGCATACTCGACACGGCGTTGTTTTAGAATAGCCGAAAGATTTTTAGGAACCCGTCTTGCACTAACCTTATGCATACCTAAATGATCATACAGGATTCGACGAACACTTGTATCACAAAAGCTTAGTAATTTCTGAGATTTCCTTGACCAACAATATCTTCCGTAATGAACTTCACTGGTCGACCGGGTCTTGAATCATCTTCAATGGACTCCTGCCCCATTCGAAAATGTTTTGCCCATTCTTTCACTACAGGAAAACTTTGGCCGTACACACCATCTAGCCTTTCCTTAATAATTTTAGGTGCTTCTTATGTCAAAAACTTTATGACTGTTCTATACTTAATTTGCGTTATTTGCGACATTTTTTCGGACACGTCTTGTTTAAAATGCGTTCAACAAAAAACTATTTGACGCAAGACTTCAATTTTTATTTTCGCAGCCGACTAAGTTATATATTTAAAAGAAGATAAAAATTTATCGTGATTCTGGACTTGCATCTATGTGAGGCCTGGAAATTTTGGCGCTAACCTCGTACACTCCAGTAATAGAGGAAACTTCCTAATATGTTTGCCTTATTTTCTTCATTTAAAATTTAAAACATTATGATTTCGGCATACCTTATTATCATTTAATACGTTACCGTTTTCTGAAAATTTCTTTGCCAGCCTTGGAAATATCTGTCTGCTCTCTCATTTTAACAATAATTCAACCATCAACGTTGTTTACTAATATGTCAAACATAACAGATCATTTATTAAACACATATATAATATACAGGGTGTTCCATTTAAAAATATATGAAGTTGGTCAGAAAATTGATAGTGTTCTGTTTTATACTTCACTTGGAAAACAACTTGGCAACGAACCCTACATTCTGTTTCTTGTCTAAAAACAAAAAAGTTACATCCGATTAAACCCCTAAAAACGTCGCGATTTACCGAAACCGCGATCGAAGCGCCCCCACCCGAACGTCCATAAACGCGCGAACGTACGGGTCCCGGAGCGGAACCCTGCGGTACACCGGCGACTGTTTCAGCCCCGGGAACGCCGCATACAGGTGGACCAATCAGGCCGAGGTGACTTTGAGTACAGAGCAGAGCTTTCCCGACGGATTCCCCGCAGATTTTTCCGTCCTAGTGGTCGCGAGGACGCTCAAAGGTAATACCGGGACTCGTTTCTCGAAACCTACTCTCGGAATCGCGATTTCAAGGGGCCAGCTATCCGGTGTTCACCCTGTACAGTGACGAAGGCGACGAACAGCTCGTCGTCAACGTCGGTGACAACGTCAGCCTTTACTACGAGGACCTGGACGAGATGCCTGTGGAAGGAAACCACGTGGAATTTGATATATCCAGCTACGACGAGACGTAAGTGGGAAACTATTTCTCGTTCTGTTAATGCGGCTTTTTGACGCGTTCCTTTGTTCGTACGGCCGTCTCGGCGTTAAGTAATTGCGAGCGTACGCCACGGGGATTTTCGCTTTAATTTGAAAACATCGCCATGCCTTACACCGTGTCTTTATCAAATGTAATATTTACAAACTACCTGCTACTATATATACCGAAAAATGACCATAAAACCTTAATTAAAGTTGTGAGAATTTAAGTTCAACAAAGGAGGGGTGTTTAAATCTAATTGATCGTTAAGCAATACATTTGAATGTCTCATTTTGTTAATCTCCATGGCTTCCTATAAATTTAATTTTCTACTTTTTGTGGCTGTATGTAAAATATCAAAATTGTCGTCAAAAATGTGTTTTTCTGTATTTAAGTGTGTAGCATCATTAGAATCCAAACGCTCTTTTATGTTCGTTAATGCGTTTCTTGAAGGATCTACTTGTTTGTCCAATATAAATTTTAGGACAACCTGAAGACCCCTGATTTTTGAGATTTTGGACATTCCGTTTAATTGTTTTTTAAAAATTTTCCTAATGTGTTGTTAGTTCTGAAAGCTATTTTTAAACCACATTTTGACAAATGTTTTGAAACTTTTTCACTGGGTTCTCGTATACAGTGTGTCCAAGATAAGGATGCACAGCATGGGGATCTCGGAAACTATAAGAGATACAGTGTCGGTTAAATTAGACAAAAGTTGCGCATTTTGATACCGAACAAGATCCCGTTTTACAAATTTGAAAATTCCAAGCCGTTCCGGAAATATCCGAGAAAAACCGAAATATTGCGATTTCGTTTTTATTATTTTTTAAAGCTATTTGAAAAGATATGAATAAACGGAAAACACTTTTCCATTGGCACTTTTTAATCTCTCCAAATTGACGTTAACAAATTTTCATTACAGCGTTTCGATTCCATGGAACCACCATCAACTTTGATTTTTCTTATGGGACGGAAAAAAAGTACACACAGTATTAGGTTGTGCTTTTCATTGCGAATTCAACGATGTACGATACAATACGGTTACTTATGTTTTTATCCAGAAAAATAGCTTTTTAATACATTTCTAGTATTTTATTGTAGTAGGCCATGAGATCCGAACGATGAAAGGCAAAAGAAAATGGTTGACAAGTTCGAGTTAATGTGTTTATTTATTTACTAACTCTAACTGTTCATTTAACATAACAACTAAATCCAACAAGTTAATGAAAAACAAATTCTATAACAAATGTTCGAATAAATGACCTCCATTTTCTAGGCATAAGTACGCCCGTCTCACGGTAGACTCGAAAACACGACTTAACATTTCAGGAGTAATTTTATTAAACGCTGCTCGTACTGATTGACGTAATTGTTCCTCGTTGTCAAAACATTCTTTGAATACCTCATTTTTTATGTAGCCCCATAAGAAAAAGTCCAAGGGAGTTAAGTCCGGGGACCTTGGGGGCCAAGGTGTTTCACTGTAAGTCCCAATGTATTTTCCATCAAACCGTTCAGTTAAATATTGGCGAACTTCTCTGGAGTTATGGGCTGGGGCACCATCTTGTTGGAACCAGCAGCCTTGCACAGCGCCTAGCGGTAAATCATCTAAGGCATCTTCTAAATCGTGCCTCAAGATGTCAAGTTACCGCTCGGAAGTTAAGGAATTATTATAGAAAATAGGGCCTATAATCTTGCTACCAAAAATCCCACACCAAATATTAAACCCAAAGCGAACTTGATGTCTGGATAGTCTATTAACACGTGGATTTTGTTGCGACCAATAGTGTGTATTGCGCCTGTTATAAATACCGTTATTGGTCACCATACTTCAGACCAAATCACTTTATATGGAAAATTAAAACTCTCATCACACATATACCACTCACAAAAATGTCTACGTCGTTCGTCGTCACCCGGTTTTAATCCTTGACATATTCTGAATTTGTAAGGCTTAAATTCATTTTTCCTTAAAATAAACTGAGCTGTAGATTTAGCTACCCCATTCTGGTCTTCAATTTCTCTGGTAGAAGTTTGTGGATTTTCGATAACAGATTGTAGAACAATGTATTGGTTTTCTTCATTGGAAGGTTTTTGTCGAGATAATGCAGGCTTCTTAAATGATCCATATTCTTTCAGATTAAATAACAAACGCCGAAAAATACTCTTGTCAGGTTGTCTCCGCTCTGGGTATTTGTTAGAATACATACGCTCGGCTTCCACACAATTTCTTTGGCATCAGATGTAGCAAGACAGCATATCACTTTTCACTTCGTTTGTAAAATTACCTCCCTCCATTGTAGAACAAAATAAATTAGAAAAAGACAACAACAATAAAAATACAAAAACAATAACTAAAGGAATAAACTTATGATCGACTGATAACAAAGACAAATAACATTAATGTGTCATTGAAATTGACTGGATGTCATTTTGTCATGGCCTACTCCATTTAAATGCTGAAATGTATTAAAAATCCATTTTTCTGGATAAAAACATAAGTAACCGTATTGTATCGTACATCGTTGAATTCGCAATGAAAAGCACAACCTAATACTGTGTGTACTTTTTTTCCGTCCCATAAGAAAAATCAAAGTTGATGGTGGTTCCATGGAATCGAAACGCTGAAATGAAAATTTGTTAACGTCAGTTTGGAGAGATTAAAAAGTGCCAATGGAAAAGTGTTTTCCGTTTTTTCATATATTTTCAAATAGCTTTAAAAAATAATAAAAACGAAATCGCAATATTTCGGTTTTTCTCGGATATTTCCGGAACGGCTTGGAATTTTCAAATTTGTAAAACGGGATCTTGTTCGGTATCAAAATGCGCAACTTTTGTCTAATTTAACCGTCACTGTATCTCTTATAGTTTCCGAGATCCCCATGCTGTGCATCCTTATCTTGGACACACTGTATATGTAATTGTTTTAAATTGTTCGTGTTCTGTATTAGAGTTTACTGTTGTCTGGATTTGTTTTTTATTTATAATTTTATCTATAACGGATTGTAGCCGTTGTTCAGTGCAATTTGTTTAATGATATTAAGTTCTTTGCCGTAATTTTCTGTTGAGAGTGGCGTATTAAGAAGTCTGTGTATAAAAGAGTGAAATGCAGCTATTTTGTGTGTATAGGGGTGATTTGAGCTGTTATGTATGGCTGTGCCCGTGTGTGAAGATTCATGATAAATGGAAAATTTGTTTTGCGTTTTCGTAATAGGAGTTATCCTGTTCAATCTCGCTAGTGAATTTTATACGATTATGTAATGAGTTAATGTAATTTAAAAAAGAATTCAATTGTCTGTCCCTTCCAACAAAGCAAGCAAAGACATCATCGACGTATTTATACCACCATAGAAAACTTTTACTTAAAGAATATTCTCCAAATTATCCCATAATTAAACCTTCTTTAGAGTTGTAAATTTGTCCATTAAATTCAAAATAATTTTGGTCTAAAGATACTATTAAGCGATCTAATAATTTGTTTTTCACCAGTGGGTTAACCTGTTTCCAAGTGAGGGTGAAATCTACTAAATCTATCACATCCATAGGTAGAATACTGGGAAATAAGTTTTGTACATCAAAAGACAATAGTCTTGCTTTCGAAGAGATTTTGATATCTTTAATTTTGTTGATTAATTCAAAAGAATTTTTTAATTAAGGTTTTATGGTTATTTCGATAAATATTCATGAAAATCTGAACTTTTAGTTATTATTTATTTTGATAAATGGATTTTCATCAAGTAAAAGCCACGTCGCCACAATATTTTTTACCTAAGTAATGCTTGTCCACGACTTTCCGCAAATAAACAATAGCCCTGGTTCCGTTAAATAAACACCAATAAACAGAAAATACTCATACTCCCGCGCTGGAAGCTACAATTAAAGTCTAGTGAACTATTCGCTAAGTGAAGTGACATTTATAATTTAAGTTTCCCACACAAATTTTACATACCGATCGCACGAACTTTGGTGGTTTTTACAGTTTTTATATTAATACCTTGCCAAAGCCAACCATTTTCAACCATTTTCAAATATCGACGTCTCATCATTACATTCAAAACAAAATTTAAAGTTGGCAGCTGCTTCTTCTTGCTTGTACGATTTTAAATATTTAATTCTCTTAAAAGCCTTATCTTTGGATGATTTTTCTTCCAATTAAAGTTTTTTTCTTTAAATAAATGATCCATTGCAAAAGTTAAATAAGCATCATAATATTTTAAAATTGTGTTTATTCCGTTGTTTGCACGTCATGTCCGATAATACGTCTCTCTCTGTCCAACGTACACAGTTAAAAGGAGACAACAATAGCAGAACCAATCGGAACGATAAGCAAATAGGTTTAATGGCAACGGGTAAATACAGTTATTATTTATACTTTTTTCGTATTTACAAAATTTACAAAAAAAAAAAATTATCGAAAAATTATCGAATTTTCGAAGATCGTATCAAGGTACAGTGAAAACTCCCTATAGCGAAACTCTGGGGCTCTCCTTACCCTAATAAAAAAAAAAATCTCTAGATGATAAAGTTGCTTAAATTCGGGAGATAGAACGGGGAGAAAAGAAAAGTGAAATGGTCATTATAATGACAACATGCAGAGAAACTAGTTTTCAATTTTAAGTGAAACACTTAAAAAAAATTATTCATTCTTAAAGAAATCAGTGGCGTGCCGCTGACTGTGTATGGGCAAATAATATTTTGGTTGATGTAGTCGCCGCTGCATTAATCGAGAACTCCTTTTTGTGAAAAAACAAAAAACTAGTTTTTAGTTACCAATCAGTGTCCTTCAGGAAAAACTTTTTTGAAGATTGTTCTTTTTACTTTTACAGTTTTAATATCGTAACAACAAGATAAATAATAATAAACGATTCTAATTTTAAAAAAAGGAAACACTACTTACTATTAATAATTTTTAACAAAATTGCCTGTTAATAGGTTAATAACAACCTTTTTGAGAAAAAGTAGGACATAGAAACTAGATGAGTTGTTTAAAGTGTCCTCCACTTGAAAAATACACGCGTCATCTGTTTTCCATTTATACCTCCAGTGTTTGATAATAGACCACCGGAAGCTCTTATACGATTCTTCATCTCCTCTACAGTATTAACTGACTAAGACTAAGATGCCCCCATAAGAGAAAGTCCAAACTATTTAAATCTGGAGCTCCAGGCGGCCATAGCTAAGGTGAACAACAAATCTCGAGGAAGTAACTAATTTGATTGATTTTCATCAATAGAATTTAAGACTGCTGGAGTTCTTACAGTCCGATGCAAAAATTTCAAATATACACCTCAGAGTTTACGTACTTCGTATTCGTACTTCAATTTTTTGAAGATAGCTTTTAGTAAGAAATAATGATAATGCAGGGCAGAGGTTAAATCAGTGGCGTACCATCAATGTCTGCCAAAATTGAAATGCGAAATTCCACACGCCCGCCACTGGTGTATTTAAAAAAAAAATCGGTACACTAAATAAATCCTCAAATTTCATTAACATATCTAAAGCGGTATTAAACATATTAAAAACTTAACTTAAAAGTACTAAAAAATCTCCCCCTTAAATATTGACATTAAATTAGAAAACACCCTGTATATGTATAATATCACATGTATGCGGTATTGTTACTTTTATTTTACTTCGAAAAAATCACTTAATATCGCGTAAAGACGGCGCTTATCTGCCGAAGACGAGCTCATAGACGCCGATATTTCACTCCCGGATTTCAGATGGCACCGCTTAGCGTTCAGCGTCAAGGGAGATTCGGTCACTCTGATATACGACTGCGACACCACAGTCACCAAATCGCTCGCCAGGGAGCCCGCCTCGAGGCTAAGCAACCTGGGGGTCGTTACCGTGGGCTACCAGTTGTTTACTGACAGACGGTTCAAAGTAAGGATTACGCGTGACGTAATCGATAGCCGCGTTTTCCCCTAACTTCCATCCCCAGGGAGACCTGCAGCTGCTAATGATAGCGTCGACCCCGGACGAGGCGTACGAGTTGTGCAAGACACACGCTCCGGATTGTCTCTCCGAAGAAGCTTACGCTCACGTGCCGCTTAATTTTACCGCCGCGCGGGAGGCGGCGGCGATCCCCGTCCCCGGGGACGATCTTGAAGGTACAACGGTTGCGTACTACGACGAGATGACCCAAATCGTTTACAACGACACCGTCGGAGTAGAGCCGTCGCCTTCCCGGTGTCCCCCGGGACCTAGGGGATATCCCGGACCACCTGGAACACCCGGACCGACGGGACCGAAGGGCGAACCCGGAAGAGACGGTTTGGCGGGCGCGGCAGGCCTCGCCGGACCCCCCGGTCACGTCTACGTCATTCCCGTGAGTCCAAACTCGCCATGGTCGGCAAAGTAACGCGTTTCGGTTTCAGATGACGCCTCAGGGAGACACCAAAGGCCCCGACGACCACGCCGAGACTTTCCGGCACATGCTCGCCCAACACATGGTAATAAACCACCTCCTTGTATTCTTCACTTTGCCAATCAGCAATTCGCATCTATTTTAAAGATCTCGATGCGGGGAATCGAGGGACCGATGGGACTGACGGGCGTGCCGGGACCTCAGGGACTCACTGGTCCGGACGGCGCCAAGGGCGAACCCGGTGAAGTCGGCGAACCGGTAAGTCGGGCGCCGTATCTCTGAAAGTCGTGATACGTCATTGATTACGTAGGGTCCCACAGGTCCGATCGGTCCTCCGGGGCTAACGGGACGCCAGGGACGCCGGGGCTATCCCGGCAGGGACGGCGATAGGGGATCAAGTGGTCCCACTGGCTCCAAGGGCGATTCCGGCCTTATAGGGATGCCGGGCGTGCCTGGGGACAAAGGGGACCGAGGACTGCCGGGTACACCGGGCGAAAGCGGTCCGCGCGGTCACCACGGCATACAGGGCGAAGACGGCGCCCCAGGTGCCGCGGGATCCGCCGGCGAAATGGTTGTAACTTCTCTTTATCTGGTATTGACATCGAAATTGTCGCGTTTCTTTAGGGCCCGAGGGGTTTTACTGGCCCCAGGGGCTTTCCAGGGCTTCCGGGTCCTCCCGGGATACCCGGGGCGGAAGGTCCGATCGGAAACAAGGGCAATCAAGGTCCGCCAGGCGAACACGGGTCGCCCGGTCAGACGGGACCCGTGGGTGCGATCGGTGCCCCGGGTCCTTCGGGCCTTATGGGTCCTCCGGGAGTCGCTGGCCCTCAAGGCAAACCGGGTATTCCTGGACTGCCTGGCGCGGAAGGTCTGCCGGGGGCAGGCGGCAAACCCGGGTTGCAGGGACCGAAAGGAGAACGGGGACCGATAGGGCCCGTCGGACCTGCCGGTTTCCCGGGAATTAGAGGATCCAAAGGCGCAGAAGGGAAAAGAGGAACGATTGGCGACAAAGGCGACAAAGGCGAGAAAGGATTGGAAGGCGAAAGAGGCGAAACAGGACCGAAAGGCGATGCCGGGCAAAGGGGACCCCAGGGACCCACCGGAATTGAAGGACCCGAGGGACCTAAGGTAATTTTACATCGTTTTGCATAATTTCAGTATAATTAACTTAAGTGCCGTGTACAAGGGATCGGAGGGACCGACGGGCGAGACCGGACAGTCTGGACCAGCGGGCGAAAAGGGCAAAGAGGGTGCGCAGGGATTTCCCGGTTATCCAGGATCCACTGGAGAAAAGGGAAACAAGGGAGACGCGGGCAAAGAGGGAGCTGTAGGTGAAAAAGGAGATAGAGGCCACCCGGGCCCACTTGGCGAAAGGGGCGAAGCGGGACCGAGGGGCTTTAGGGGATTACGTGGTAGAAGGGGACGCGATGGCTTCCGAGGACCGAAAGGCGACACGGGGCAGCCGGGACCCGCCGGTCCCCAAGGCGATACCGGCCCTCCGGGAAGCGAGGGTCCTAGGGGATTCCCTGGGGCGACCGGTCCTCCCGGAAACGACGGCAAGGGTGGAATTCCGGGGCAACCCGGAGAAAGAGGTGCGCCCGGAAAAACGGGTCAACCTGGTCCGGTAGGCTTGCCGGGTGTGGTAGGACCGCCGGGACCCATAGGAGAGGTGGGACCGATAGGGGAAGCTGGACCCGTCGGTCTGCCAGGACGTACCGGCGAATCTGGACTTCCGGGTGAACCTGGCAAAGATGGTGTACCCGGAATCCCAGGTTCTGAAGGAAAAGATGGCATTCCGGGTCTTCCGGGACCTCAGGGGCCACCAGGAGAAATGGGACCAGTCGGAATCCCTGGCGCGGGCGGATTGAAAGGAGACGTCGGCCCGATGGGAACTCCCGGGGTACGAGGCGATAAAGGGGAGCCGGGAGAAACGGGAGCGGAAGGACCCCCGGGGCCCCAAGGAGGGCAAGGACTTCCGGGTCCCCCCGGTTCGGCGGGCGCTAAAGGAGAACGTGGAGAGCCGGGACCCATAGGAGTGGCTGGTCGGGACGGACCGTCAGGTCCCAGGGGACTCTCAGGAGCACCGGGTCCCATCGGACCGCCGGGAGAAGACGGTGACAAGGGTGAAATGGGAGCGCCCGGCGAAAAGGGCTTCAGGGGATTGAAAGGGGAGCAGGGGCCGGTGGGAAACGTCGGTCCGCCAGGATTAAGAGGAGAACCGGGCGCTCCGGGACCGATCGGCGAGAAAGGACGGCCGGGCGAGATGGGCAAACTGGGGTTCAAAGGAGAAGACGGGCCTAGGGGACTGCCCGGTCCTCCAGGTATGACCTTGGTTGGTTTTATTTTTGGAAAAATGTAAAGAATTGCTGTGGTAGGGATAAGTGGAGCGCAAGGACTGCCAGGGCCACCGGGAGCTAAAGGAGAAATGGGTATGTCAGCGTAACCACCGAATTCCCGATCTCTTAAAGCTGAAATTCGTTTGTAGGCGACGCGGGTCCGATAGGGCAGATCGGACCTGCGGGACCCATTGGAGAACCCGGTCAGAAAGGCGCCGACGGGACGCAAGGCCCACCTGGAGCCCCGGGTCTGACGGGTCCTCAAGGTATGAAAATTGCTCGTGGCATATGTAAGGGCTTAACTTCTGTTACTTTGCAGGGCAGAAGGGGCACGACGGACTGCCGGGTATCCCGGGTCCACCGGGAACCGAGGGGAAACAGGCACGGTTTAAAAGCACGCCTTTCGTCGATAATTACAATTTAATGTTACAGGGCGAGGCTGGACCGCAAGGCGCGAAAGGAGAAGACGGCCGCTCTGGACCGCAAGGTCCGACCGGCCCGAGGGGTCTTCCGGGAGCGGACGGTCCAAAGGGACCCGCAGGATCTCCAGGTTTTCCGGGACCTCCGGGCGAACCTGGACCGCAGGGATCGAAAGGCGAACCGGGAACTCACGGCGAGCCGGGAAAAGCCGGTCCGGTCGGCCCTTCCGGAGAACAAGGTCCCCAAGGTCCTGTCGGGCCCTCGGGACCTTCGGGAAAACCGGGAATGGATGGGCCTCCCGGGGCGGAAGGAGTTTCCGGCAATTCTGGAGAGAAAGGCGACAAGGGAAGTAGTGGCGCTACAGGTTCTCGGGGCAATCCAGGTCCCGACGGTCCCGCCGGACCCGTGGGACCGCAGGGCCTTAGAGGATCGCCGGGGGCAGCGGTACGAAAACGACGACAGTCTTTTACAAGCGGGGGATAACGTGCGGTTCGTGTTAGGGCGAGAACGGACCACCGGGAAAACCGGGACCTGCGGGCGCGGCCGGCGCTTTAGGAGAGACGGGACCCCGGGGCCAGAAAGGCGACAGGGGACGCAGGGGACCGAAAGGGCACGCGGGGGCCGTCGGACCGGCGGGACCTAAAGGCGACGACGGAGAGCGCGGCGAACGGGGCGAAAAGGGGGACCCCGGACCCGAAGGACCCAAAGGGAACCCGGTAATTGGCAGCAGATAAACGTTTACAGTTTAAGTAAGTCAACGTTTCAGGGCGCGACGGGTCCAGAGGGCCCCAAAGGAGACGGCGGGCCTCAGGGTCCTCCCGGGGAAGAAGGGCCCGCGGGTCCCAAAGGATCGGTGGGTCCGGCGGGGCCGAAAGGCGAGCCCGGTCCCGTAGGCCCCGCGGGACTTTCGGGCCCGCCGGCCGATATGCCGCTCGTGCCTCCCGAGTTACTCCTGCAGCTGCAGGGGTCGACGACGAAGGGTCGCACCAAGCGCGACGTCGTCGACGAGCTCGACGTCAAGTTCCTCGACATGTACTCGACGATTTACGCGCTGACGCGTGAACTGGAGGGAGAACGGAACCCCACGGGTCGCAGGGAGAACCCGGCGAAGACGTGCGCCGACCTCCACCGCGGTCATCCCCACCTCGAAGACGGTACGTCTCCGCGGAGTCGAAGCTTCGAGTTGTTTTCTTCTTTTCCCCAGGTTGGTACTGGATCGACCCGAACCTGGGGGCGACGGACGACGCGATCCGCGCATTCTGCAACATGACGGCGGGGGGCGAGACGTGCGTGTATCCGGACGAGGCGAACGCGCACGCGCCGAAAGCGTCGTGGAAGAGGGCGTCACGAGACGCCACCACGTGGTATTCCGGTTTCCATGGAGGCTCGAGGGTGACGTACGACGGGGTAGGGGCGGCTCAGATCAAGTCGCTGCGGCTGTTTTCGCACGCGGCGCGTCAGAACTTCACGTACGTGTGTCGGAATTCGGCAGCGTGGCGTGACTCGAGTACCGGAAGCCACGCCTCCTCCATCAAGCTGCTCGGCGACAACGGGCAGCGGTTCGGGCACGCAGGTAAGGGGGGCGGGTGGTAAAAAAAACGTCCGATACACCTCGGAAGACGGCTTTTGAGGCTCAAAATGGCTTTTGAGGCTCAAAAGTATTTTTTGTATGTTTCGAGTTTTTTTTTTTTTTTTTTTGACACATGTAATATATTCTTAAGTGCGGAAAAATAAATAATTTCAGAGCAAAAAATTATTTTTTTTATGCGTGGGATAATATGGGTTGACAGGAAACTACTTCTGGTAATTTAAAGTGAAAACCTTTAAAGTTCCATAAATACATTATAAATTGTACCTTTCCTTTGAATTAAAGCAAATGCTAAAAAAAAATTCTACGCTGTCAGGCTTAAATGCTAAGAGGTCCTTGCATAAAAATTTACCTGGCCCTGAAGTATTACTGTTTTATATATTGTGCCTTTTCTTTCAAATTTAATGTTAAAAAAAATGTCGATTTTATGAGGTCATTTAAAGGCCTTAAAAATCAGTATTTTATAAGTCTTGCTTTTAATGTTCAAGAAATAAAATAATCTTGGATTTAAGTTTAAGCCATTGAAAGGCCTATAATTTTCAGGGCCTTCAAATAGTCGACATTTTATAAATTATTGTCCTTTTTGTTTCAATTTAATTTAAAAAAAAATAAAACATTCTTGGATTTTAAGTCTAAGATATCTCGCCTAAAATTCTCAATGTTTTACTGATCAATATCTTATAAATTGTATAAATCAATAAAATCAATACCTACCTTATAATCTGTATAAATTTTAAGTCTCAGCCTTATCGGTACCTCTCTGAAATTTTTAAAGCATTTAAAAATCAATATTTTATAAATTGTGCTTTTTCTATCAACTTGATGTTTAAAAAAAAAAATAATAATAATTTTAAGTCTAATACATATGGGATCGTTCAAAGACATCGATATCTCGCCGAAAGTTTTCTAGGCCTTAAAAGGAATCAACGTTTTATAAATTGTGCTTTTTCTTTCAATTTAATGTTTGGGAAATTAGTATATTGTGAATTTACGAACACACGGATCTATTAAACTAAAATAACTTTATTAATAATGAATACACTGATTTTAAATTAACACTCTCTCTCATGTTAGGTTAGGTTCTATTATACAACGTTTCCTCTTCTTCTTTTATAGTGGATAAATGACAAGTAATCACAACATAGTAATCTTGGATTTTAAGTCTAAGCGCTAGGATGTTATTTAAACGCCTTATCAATATTTCGTTTGTGAAGCCTTTAAAAATCAACATTTTATAAATTAAGAGGTCATTAGGCCTTTAAAATTAAAAACTCAGCATTTCATAAATTGTGCTTTGACTTTTAATTTAATGTTCAGGAGAATAAAAAAAATGGATTTTAAGTTTAATACCTTATCAATCCCTCGCTTAATTTTTTAAAGCCTTCAAAAAAAACAACCTTTTTTTTTTCTAATTTTGCTTTTTCTTTCAATTTAATGTTTAGGAAAAGAAAAAAATCTACGATTTTAAATCTATTATGGGGTAAGCCCTTATGAATATCTACCGAAAGTTTTCAAGGCTTTTACGGATAAACATTTTATAAATTGTGCTCTTTCTTTCAATTTAATGTTCAAGAAAATAAAAAAATCTTGGATTTTAAGCCTAAGACTTGTGAGGTCATTTAAAAGTGTTATCGATACCTCGCCTAAAGTGTCGAAGGATTTTAAAGATGAATATTTTATGAAATATGCCTTCTCTTTCAACTTAGCGCTTAAGAAAGATAAAAAACTTTCGACTCCAAGTATCGGACCTTATAAGAAAGGTATATATCGCAAAAAAGAAGAAAAATATATCAAAAGTTATTCTCTGCTAGTTAGTGGCGCACGTCACCTGTTGCTTTTAGGTGTCAAGCCGAGAGTTCTCATCGACGGATGTCAAACGCGGCGAGGGGACAGCGAGACCGTGTTTGAAATAAGCACGACCAAGAAAATCGAACAGCTGCCAATCATTGACTTCCTTCCCGCGGATTACGGGAATCCAGACCAAGCTTTCGGGTTCGTCGTCGGCCCGTTGTGCTATAAATAAATTCTGTATAAGCTGTTAATAAACAATGCGTCTCGACACCGACTAGGGCAGTTTTCATTCTTCCTCGTGTTGCATGCAGTCCTCTTGTGGTCTGTGAAAAGTTATCTCTGCTTATTCCGTGCTTTAACAGTGACGATTTAGGAAGATCCCGAGAATCTCGTAAACCTAATAGGATTGCCGAATCCCATAACACATAAGTTCGCCAAAATTATCGATTCGTGGTCGCTTGTACCGTAAGCGGCGAAGTCATCTAACGGTTTTTGTGTATTCTGTCAATGCATTTGAAGGCGTATTAAACCGTTGTATTTGTTGTGAGTAGTGCGTTTATGTTTGTGTTAATTGTAGTTCTGTAAAAAAAACTTGGACAAAGCAGTGTTTTTAAGGTTTAACAAATACTTTAAAATTGTATGTGCTTGAGTGGCGAGAACTGAGAAAAACAGTATTTTTAACCTTAAACAAAGACTTAAAAGTTTTCTGTTCGTGCTGCTTATTAGCGGTGTTATTAGTTAGGAGGTAAGCTCAAAATATTACACATAATAATATAGGTAAATGTAAAAAATTCATTTCTTTTACCTTTTTCAGCGGGATAAGTTACATCAAAAAATAGTTAGGTAGGTTAGGTTAGCAAGTTCTCGAAAATGTAGTTTTCATCGCTTTCCCAAAGGGAAAGATCTAATATCCCGAACTATTCGGAACGAGTAGATAGTTCAATGTAGAAGAGAGGACAAACTTAATCCAGATAAAAGCTATGTCTGCTCAGTTCATTTTACTGAAAACGATTACGAAAGAGACTTACAAAATGAGTTATTAGGTTTTTTTTGTCTTGAGTAACACATTAAATTCATCCCAAAATTTAAATTTTAGGTAAACCTTTAAAAAAGATTCTCAAAAAAACCGCTGTTCCCACCCTATTATTATTTAACCAGAAGCCACCAACACAAGCAGGATTATCTGGACCAAAAAGTCTTCATTCTAAAAATGCCAACATAGAAGCTCCGCAGGTATTGTCTGAGCTTTTAGCAACAACATCGAATGCCACAAGTGAAATTCCAGAGAAAAATCCATCTCTAGAACCCATGCCAAAACCCCAGCCAGAACCCATCTCCGAACCCCAAATAATAAATTATGGTGATACCCGCAGAAAAAAAATTAGAAAGTATGGTAAAATTGTAAAATAAAGATGTAGTAATACATGTTTTTTATATTATGTACATATCTACCACCTGTAAATTTTTGTTATATATGCCTACTATATTTTTTGTTTTTTAATATGTTCTTTAATATATCCAAAAGTAGGGATTTCTAGTTTATAAGTTGATATGTCGGCGGACTGGGTTTTCGAAAGACAACAGTAAAGTTAATTACTTCCACTTTAATATCACAAAAATACACTTTCTTTATATGACCACGGTACCGCACGTGAAAACGTTGCCTCTTGGACACATCTGCTGAGACTGCCTTTTTGGTCGGCCCGCGGTGTTGCCAAAAACACCACATAAGTATTTGTTGATTTTTGTATATTTAAAATGGTAGAATGCCGTAAAACACAAAGTTTTACAAGTAAATCGTTTTGTTCGCTAGTTTTATTTATTTATGTAACAATATTTAATTAATATATGTATTTCAAGATAATACTAGTATTATTTTTACCCTATCTGAGACCCTACCCTACGCTACTTCCCAATAATTATTAAATAAATACTGGGAAGATCCAGTGTGTGCGCTGAGTATTGAGAAGAAGAAGTATTTTGTGGTCTGCGACCGGTTGTCGCCGCGTAGTCCGTTCTTTAACACTGATAGTTGACGTCGTCGAAAACTTTCGATTCGTGTTCCACGGTGTTTGTTGCTGCCGTGTTCGTTGACGTTAGAGGTGTAAATTAATCTATTAAATGTTGGAGTAGTATTAAAAAAAAAAGTTCCGTTGAAAGCGACTTGAACTCGCCGCCTAAGTATCGATCTCGATTACGTAGTTTGCGAACCGATCGATGGGAATTTTGTAACGGCCGAAAAATGTGGAGCTGAGGTGGATCTACGTGAGCCGTGAAACTTGCAACGACAGCGTTTAAAATCGTGATCCCTAATGAATGGTGGATGTAAAGGTAACGCTCTTTTTTCTCCCGATTGATTGGAACGCTAATTAACGACACAGCTGTGATCCTCGCTCGATACAAGCATATTGTTCGTAATTTCGGCAACGATCCGCGCGTTTTTCTCCGTGAGGCTTCGCGATCGCGTGGCCGTTTTCGAAAGGCGTCGAATTTTCGAGCCGTGAAGTGGTTTCGTTGGTTTCGCGTCTCTCAAAAATTGATCCGTTCGAAAGTTAGGTTATGTGAAACGTCAAAATTATCGTCGGCGTAACGAAACCTTTGTCGAAAATCGCGTTGCAAACTAATTATTTTTTTTAATTTTGACGCACGTAAAACAAGTTGGTTTCGGAAGTTATGGTATGGAAGTATAGAATGCAGAGGTTGCGGAATGCTCGTGTGATATTTATGTTTAAATCTAAAATAAAATTGCAAATTATTTTTATCACCTACTTAAATTACTTAAAATTATTCACAGTTTGGTTTTAGAAGAAATATAAACGCTGTTTCAGGCATTCTCAATTTAGTTTCAAACATTACGGATACATTCCAGAATTCGCCATATAAATAACACTGTATTATTTTGTGATCTCGCTAAAGCCTTCGACTGCGTTGATCGTGGAATGTTAGAGGCTTATAAGTTTTCAAATAGCAGTCTTAGTTTGATGCAATCTTACCTTAACAATAGGTGCCAGGTGATTAAGTACTCTGGAGTGACATTAGCGAAGAGTGAGGCGAACATTGGAGTGCCCCGAATCTCAATTTTGGACCCCATATAATTTTTAATTTATATTGTGGATCCTTCACACGTTTCTAAGGATTCATTAGAAGACATGTTAGAGTTCCAAGATGGTTTAGTGCAAATAAATTAGTTCTAAGTAATTATACCAGATTTCTTGGCATCTATATTGACCGAAAAGTTCAGTGGGACTTCCATATAGATTTTGTTGCTCAGAAACTGACCAAAAATTTGTATTTGCTTCGACGCTTTACCGAAAATGTCTCTCCTGGTGCGTTAAGGTCCGCATATTTTGCACTTATTCATTCGCAACTCCTGCATGCGATCTTAATATGGGGTCATGCTGCTGGCAGGTACCGTTCGTTCGGATTACAACGAAAAGCAATTCGAATTATTTGTGGAAAATCTATCATTTATAAAGAAAAATCCGCATCTATTTAGCACCTATAAGGAATTGCATGACCATCAAACCAGCATTTTTATTCTTTTGATGAATATTTGTATTTCTATTATCATGTATCGGGTGTATGTATATAAATAAAGTATTCGTATAACATAATTTTTTAATTAGGTTTAGGTGGTACCTTATTTTGTTGGTGGTGACGCAACAAATATCATTTCGTTTCCTTTTAGCCGAGTGAAACATGTCCTGGGTGCATCAGCGGGGCCCCAAGGCGACCAGCACGGCTGCCAATTCACCCGCGCAACCGTACAACCCCAACCAACAACATTCCCTGGTCAACGTAAGTGAAATCACGAATAATAACAGTAGGTTTTATTTTCGTATAAGAGGGTCTCGCAGTTTTTGAATTTACTTCTTGGCTTTGGCTTGGTCGGCCACCTCCTGCATGGCTTTCCTCACGGTCTCCTCGTCCCCGAGGAACTGGAGACTCCCACCCGGCACCGGTTTCATGTTTCTGTCTAGGGTGTACTTGAACGGGATCCCCGTCGGCAGGTTCAATTTCATGATTTCGCTCTCCGTCATTTCGTCTAGGTGTTTCACGATGCCGCGCAAGCTGTTACCGTGGGCAGCTGAAATTTCAAAAATTAACGACAACAAAAAAAAACGCGGGCCCCCTTACCGATAAGGACCCGTTTGCCCGCTTTGATTTCCGGCACGATCCGCTCGTTCCAAAACGGCAGGGTCCTCTGGATCGTCAACTTCAACGACTCGTACATGGGAAACTCGTCCCTCGCGGGGCCCTCCTTGTAGATGGGGTCGTTCAAAATCACGTCGTAGTAGGGATTTTGCGGAGTTATCGGCGGCGGAGGGGTGTCGTAGCTCCTCCTCCATATGGCCACTTGTTCCTCGCCATATTTCTCGACCGTTTCGGATTTGTTCAGCCCCGTCAGGCCGCCGTAATGTCTCTCGTTGAGCCGCCACGTTTTCACCACCGGAATGTCCCGCTCCCCCAACACTTCGAGGATCCCGTCGAGGGTTTTGTTCGCCCTCATCAGTACCGACGTGAACGCTACGTCGAACCGGTGGCCGGCGTCTTTTAGGGCTCCGCCCGCGTTCGCCGCTTCCCGCCTGCCCCTGTCGCTCAGGTCCGCGTTGAACCAGCCGCAGAAAAGGTTCAGTTGGTTCCATTCGGACTCGCCGTGTCGCACCATGACGATCTCGTAGGTTTTCGGGAGGCAGCGGCAGCCCGCGGGCGTCTGAAAAAACCGCGAACGGTTAGTGGGTGCGCCGGGGGGTCCTTGGCGCCGCTCACGTCGCACGACATCGTCTCGGACGGTAGATTTTCAACGGGGGTTTATCGATTTGACGGTTTACACTTCGCACCGCAGCATAACGCGTTTTGACAGACGGCAGTCGCGTCGGGCGGATCTTTGTGGTCCGTGGAAATCGTTCGTTGTCGAGGTTATACCGATAGGGAATTCGATTTTATGGTTCTACTTGATAACGCAGGAATTTTCAAAGCGACAATTTATATTTTAATTTATAATGTTTTGTTAAGCTCAAAATTTGTCGACATTTTTCCATCGTCTCTCTTGAAATTGTCAATAATTTCTCAGTCTTTACTGTGGCACAAAAAACACACTTCATTAGTTCTTTTTCACCCGACATGATGTCAGAGATATTTAACGAATAACAGTTTGATTAAAGGAAAATATCATAAAGCAACCCTGTGCATTTTATTAAATTCACTAAACACGGCATCTGTATCGAGATTCACAAACATACTGATATAAGCTCTAATGAGTAGAATAGTAATACATAAGAGAAAGAAAAAAAATAGCTATATGCAGTGTATGTATACATCTGTCCGGGTAGTAGTAAAGATTTTGTTATCTATTGAGGAGTGTCCTCAATAAAAACGTCTGCCCTTATTAATATAAGTTTTTAAGATTGAATTAAGAAGTTGTTTTGTTGTTGTTTGCTAGAAAAAGATGCGAATTTTGGTCATTGTGGGTTATATCCAGAGTTAGAACGTTACATTTTACATCTATTTGTCCATATCTTCATTTGAGTTTCGCTGATAAAGATTTGATATGCGCAGTTTAAAATTCAGTAAAAAATTGAATTAGAAATTTCTTGTTTCCGTGTCGATGGGGAAATTTTAACTGTGGTCGTCAAATGACGTCCCACTGCGCAACGTTGCCAGACCGCTATATTTCATGCTTCACGGAAAACTCCAACGTCTGCAATCTAAAAGAAATTCGAAATAATTTCGAAAGATGCAGAAATAAAATCCGTAATATGAAATGAAATACTATTGGATGTTTTTACGGAGATATTATTGCAAAAATTTAAGGTACGAAAAAACGTCATAATTTGTGGTTAGGTTTTTGACTGTATCCAAAAAAATTTGGGTTAGTTTTGGTTTTGATTTTTTAAAAATTTTAATTTAAATTCCTTGCACATGCTATAATGTACCTTACATTTTCTTTCATTTTATAAGAACCAATGGCAACCTCACGACGCTCAAAACTGGTTCAACGCGAGTGCACAGCCGCAGCAGACGTTCGGTCAGCCGCAGAATTATTGGCAGCAGCCATACGCCAATCAGGCCGGCCAGCATCCCGCGCCCGACAATCAGCGGACGGTCGGCCAGTACGATCAGCGGTACCAGCAGCCATTGAGTCATCAGCAGAACATCACTCAGTATGAACCCCAGGTATATTCCTTAAAAATATCGAAAATTGATCTGAGGTGGCTTTTACTTGATGTAAATCCATTTATCAAAATAAATAAGAACTAAAAGTTCAGATTTTCACCGTGTCTTTATCAAATGTTTCATAAGAACACGGTTTTACTTCTTGTTTATTTTGATTTTCTTAAACATTTCCCCCAGGACCAATTTTTTATACGTATTCAAAAAAGATAAGAAAAGGGAGGCGTGCAAGCAATTATTCCGAGCGTTGTAACCGTAAACACCACAAATTTCATTGTAAAAAACCGAATTTTATTATCAATTTTGCCATTCACAGTTTGCGCGCCAAGGCGATGGCGGTTTATGTGAAATTGTCGATGATTTAACAGAATTTATTACTGATTTATAAGGATTTTTTCGTTGTGGTACCAATCTTTTTGCAGCTACTCGCCACTCTTGGTGCAATTAACATTTTTTGCCCCAAGGCGATGGAGATTTATGTGAAATTGTCGATGATTTAACAGAATTTATTATTGATGTATAATGATTTATTCATTGGCGTTTCAATTTTTTTGAATTTACTTGCCATTTTGGGTGCAATTAACATTTTTCGCACTAAGGCGATGGCGATTCACGTGATGTTGTTTATGATTTAACGTAGTTTATTACTGATTTATTCATTGACGCACACAATTTTGCTCAGGTTCCTACAATTAGCCTTTTGTGACCTAAGGCCACAGCGATTCGTATAAATTTGTTGACAATTTTACCGAATTTACTACAGTTTTATGAGGATTTATTCGTTGGCTTTGATTGGTTTTACCACTCTGGGTGCCATTAACATTTTTTGCTCCAAGGCGATGCCGATTTATGTGAAATTGTCCATGATTTAACAAAACCTATTACTGATTTATAACGAATTATTGGTTGACGTACCAAATTCTTCGCAGTTGCTCGCTAATCTGGGTGTAATTAGCATTTTGTGCTCCAAGGCGATTGTGATTTACGTGAAATTGTTGATGATTTGACAAATTATTTTTACAGATTTATTGGTTAGCGTACCCATTTTGTTTGTAATTTTACCACTTCGGGTGCGTGCGTGAAAGTCAACTAAATATATACTTATCGTTTAAAATCGCTCGAAGGATAATCTCCAATATTTTCGAGACACCCTGTATACGTACCGTTCATTTGTTTATGACCGCGCTGTTGCCAGGTCTACGACCATCGTTTCGCACAAAACAACAGCGGCGGCGGTGGCGGCGACCACGCGAACCTCCAACACGGCAACGATTGGAACTGGGAGTGGGGGGCGACCGCCGACGAGAATAACTCGAACGTGTCGTCGTCGACGACGCGGCTCGGCAATCTGGGCGACAGTTTCGCCAACGACGACAGTTGGAACTGGCCGGCGCAAGACAACGCTCCGCCCCCTGCAACCAAACCCGACAACAAGCCGCCGGGCAAGTTCGACACTCCTCAATGGTCGGTGGAGTCGCAGCCGTCGCAAGAATCCTCGGACGACGTCATCCCCGCGACGCCCCTGAAACACCTGGAGGTCGAGAACAAAGAGATCGTGTTCGCGCACGTCGGAAACGACGTCGTCCCCGCGGACGTAGGGGCGGAGCCGGTCAATTTGGAGAGCGTCCCCGACAATGCGGAGGAACCGGATCGCCTCCCGCAGTGGCATCAACCGCGGCAGACCGAGAACAGCGAAGTGCCCATCAACGATCGCAACCAGTATCTGGAGACCGGCCAGTTGCGCGGCGGCCTGCAGAGGATGGTACCCGGCCAAGGGGACGATTCTCTACCACCGTTCGGACGGATGGTGCCCGGTCGGACTAGACCCCCCGCCTACGACGCGGGTGGTCCTCCGGAAGGGCTACGTCGTATGGTACCCGGGGAGTCCAGCTCGCCGGAGACGACGTCGCGCCGCGTCCGCGAGGACGACGACGACGACGACGACTCGGAGCCGGAGCTACGACAGTTGAACGACGCGGTGCAGCCCCGGTCCGCTACTATCGGCGCGGACACGCCTCCTAACGCGTCGGTCATCAGGTCAGGTGCCGTCGGGGGAGGCTCCGTGCTTGTTCCTACGCCGGTCGAGATCGCCGACCCGGATGCCCGACCGCCGGACCAACAGAGGAGGGAGTTTATAGAGGGTGCGTGTTTGTTTCTATTGTGTTACATTAGTGTACGGAATTTCCGGAAGCATTTATCATTCTCAGCGGCAGAGCGATATCGATTTGTAGAAAATTTTCGACGATTAAACAGAATTTACTATGGATTTATAAGGATTTATTGTCACTCTGGTTGCAGTTAACATAATCAGCGGCGGAGCGACAACTATTTATATGAAATCATTGATGATTTAACATAATTTACTACGGATTTATAATGGTTTATACGGTTGGCGTACAAAATTTTGGGCAGTTACTTGTTACTCCGGAAGCATTTATAATTCTCAGCGGCAGAACGATATCGGTTTGCATAAAATTTTCGACGATTTAACAGAATTTACTATGGATTTATAAGGATTTATTGTCACTCTGCTTGCAATTAACATAATCAGCGGCGGAGCGACAGCTATTTATATGAAGTCATTGATGATTTGACATAATTTACTTCGAATTTATAATGGTTTATCCGTTGGCGTAGAAAATTTTGGACAGTTACTTGTTACCTCGGACGCATTTGTTATTCTCAGCGGCAGAACGATGTCGATTCGTATAAAATTTTCGAAGATTTAACAGAATTTACTATGGATTTATAAAGATTTGTTGTTACTCTGGTTGCAATTAACATAATCTGAAGCAGAGCCACAGCTATTTATATAAAATAATTGATGATTTAACTTAATTTAGCTATTGCGATATATATTAATGTACTACTGATTTATATGAAATTATCGATAATTTAATAGAATTTACTACTGATTTATCCGTTGGCTTACAAAATTTGGAGCAGTTATGCGGCGCGGCGATGGCGATTTTTATGAAGTTATTGGTGATTTAACTAAATTTACTATGGATTTATAAGCATTTTTTTTAATATACAATAAATTGGACAGTTGTGACTTTGGACACAATTAACATTTTGTGCGCCAATGCGGTGACGATTTATATGAAATTATTGGTGATTTAGCTAAAATTACTACGGATTTATAAGGATTTTTTCATTAATATACAAAAAAGTTGGACAGTTATTTGTCCTTCTGAGTGCAATTAACATTTATATGACGTTATTGATGATTTTACAGAATTTACTACTGATTTATGAGAATTTATCCATTGTTGCACAATTTTGAACAGCTACTTTCCACACTGGGCCAGAGCTACTGCTATTTATATGAAGTTTTTGATGATTTACTTGTCATTCTGGGTGGAATTAACATTTTCTGCGTCGAGACGATGTCGATTTATGTTTAGTTATTAATGATTTAAACGAATTTGCTTCTGGTTTATAAGGATTTATTCGCTAGCGCAGTTACTTGTCACTTTGACCGAAATTAAGATTTTCTGCCTCGAGGTGATGGCGTTTTGTATGATATTGTTAACGCCCTACCAGAATGCGCTACTGATTTATTTGAAATTATTGCTGACTTAACAGAATTTACTACGGATTTATTAGGATTGTTTCATTCAAGTGCAGTTACTTGCCAATATAACTGTGGATTTATAAGGATTTATTCATTAGTGTTGACAACTTTGGGCAGTTACTTACCACTCAAATATTGATAATTTAACAGAATTTATTATGGATTTATAAGAATTAACTTGTTAGTTAGTTAGTTAATTTTATTTTATTTTCGAATTGGTACTCTTGAACTACCGATATTTACGCGGAGCAGAACCCGTGTTCGTCGTTGAACTACTTGGTCGTTTCTTGTTTGGACTAATGTTTTCGACATTTTTTACTAATTTTTACCGCTCTCCTACTAAAGGTAAATCTCATTGTATTTCCTACATCCTGCGTATAAGTACCGTGGTCAAATCCGTTCACCACGTCCGCAGGTCAAACCTACGACGGCCTGTCCGACGTGACCGACGCCGTGCGCGACCTTAGCGTCACCGGCGATAACCCGGCCTCCCACGGCGGCGGGGGCGGCTCTTCGGCGGATCACCGCACGCGCAGCCGCCAAGATAGCAGCGGTGACGATAGCGGCGGCGGCGATAACAAACCGCCGTCGCGTGGCGCGAGGGACAAAAGGGGGGAGCGGCGCGATAGGTACTCCCCCGACTCTTATAAAGGGCGGAGACGCGACAAACGGCATCCCAAAGAGCACCAGCAGCGCTACGACGACGATACCGATTACTACAGCGATAAGGAGGCGGACGGCGGCGGCGGGAGGAGAACCCGCGACCGCGACTACGACCGCAAGTACAACAGTCTGAGGCGGGGCGGCGACAAAGAGAAAAGGAGGCGGGACTATCGCGAACCGCGTCGCGGCGAATATCCCCCCCACTATCCGCGGTACCGGGACGCTTACGACGACCAGTCGAGGCCGTCGAGCAGGTCGGATTCGATGCACGAGTCGTACCGCGAGCGAAAGTACCGCGACGGGGGGCGGTACCGTTCGCGAGACGCGTACAATCCGTATCAAAGCTTCGCGTACGACCCTTACAATCCGTACTACCAGCAGTACCAGTACTACGAGAACCTGCGTCGCACCAATCCGCAGGCCTACGCCGAATGGTACCGGAAGTACTATCAGCAAGCGTCGTCGTCGTACGCCGGCGACGACCGGGCGTCGGTTCATTCGGGCAGGAGTTCCGCCAACGAGGAGCAACCGAAAGACAATAGGTGAGCTATTCGCCGTCTCGCCGGTAGTTCGTTTGTCCGCCGCTTCGCTTTGCTTAAACTCTCTTCCATTGTCGTTGTTTAGGTACGCGCGGCAAGGTTTTTATAGTCAGCAGGCGGGGTACCACGGGCGTGGTCTCGGCATAGCCGACCGGTACGGCCTGGACCAGTCTAGGTGAGCCCCTACCACCATATTGTAAAGGCGCGTCGTTCGAGAGGGATAGTTTTTTTTTTGCACACGCAAGCTTTTTCCCAATCACGCGTTGCGATTCGTCGCTTTTCACCGCTGAAGCAGTACGAAAGAGTTTCGGTTATTTGTTGGGGATTTACGGTGATTTCTGGCGATTTATCGTGACTTACATGGCTTAATCCGTTCCACCGAATGGACTCTGCACGAAGGCCGAGAGCGTTTTATATTGAATTATCGACGATTGAATGAAATTTACTAAGGATTTGTTCGAAGGCGATTTAAGCGACATTATTCATTACTCTACCAAATTTTAAGCTTAAGTTACTCTATTGGTAGTTCAAGAGAATTTACTACGGATTTATAAGAAATTATTCACTATTTTTCAAAAGTTTTTAGTTTAAGCAGTTTAAATGCAAATATTATTCTTTACGCGTATGCGAGTTATATGAGAGTAATGAAGATTTAACAGAATTTACTACGGATTTATAAGGATTTATTCGGTGGTGTACAAACTTTTGGGCAATTACTTGCCACTCCGAAAGCAATTGACATTCTTCACGCTGCAGCGACGGCTATTTATATGATTTTATTGATGATTTAACTAAATTCACTGTAGATTTATAAGGATTTATTCGTTACTTCGGGTACATTTATTATTCGCTTGTCGTAAATTTTGGCGATTTATATAAAATTATTGATGGTTTAAGAAAATTTACGACGGATTTATAGGCATTTATTCGTTATTTTACAAAATATTGTTCAGTTACTTCGCACCCGGATGAATTCTCCTCCCCAAGGCGATGGCAAGATATATGAAATTATTGTTGATTTAATAGAGTTTACTACAGATTTCTAAAGAGTTGTTCGGTAGCGTACAGAATTTTAAGCAGTTTTAATGTTGATGCTTTAAGGATTTATAGGAATTTATTCAGATGCTATTAACATTCTAGGCGTGATTTATAAAGATTTATTCGTTAGCGTACAACATTTTAGGCAGTTGTCCGTCACTATATATATGGAATTATTGATGGTTTAATACAGTTTACTATGGCTTTATAATTATTTGATCGTTAACTTGAAATATTTTAGGCAGTTGCGATTTACAGTACAGTTATTTTGTCAATTTATACGAAATTATTGATGATTTAAGAGGATTTATTATGTATTTATATTTCATTTATTGTTCATTTCGTCATTCATTCAGTTTTCTGCGCATTATAGAAATTAGTGTACAAGATTTCGGCCGGACTCTTGAGCATCTACTCAAGTTAACCTTCGTCTCGGCGTAGTGGTGATTTATATGAAATTACGGACGATTTAACGGAATTTACTAAAGGTTTATATAGATTTATTTGCAATTTTCGCCAATATTCAGTGTCCGCGCTTTCATTGGATAATTTGCGTCGAATGTTCGACAGTGCCGTCGCGGGTAATGCGTCGGTCTACGACGCCCAGCGTCTGACGCCGGCGCGTTACGCGACCGCCCACGTCAAGGCGTCGATCTCGTCCGGCAAACTGATCCGGGTGTTGCCCAATTACCCGCCCGACGGTCAAGACGCGGTCGTCGAACTCGTGGACCTGCCCCGCCTCCTCGACGACGACGAACGTTACATCGAGCTGAGTTCATTCCCCGGGCCCCTCGTCAAAGGCGTCACCCACAAGAAGACCCTAATCGCTTACTGCGACGACAAGATAAGTCGCGCGCGTCGAGCCCGAATCCGCACCCTCGACTCGTACGTCCTGATGTGGGAACTGCTGAAACTTCTCATCAGACAAAACGGCATGGTGATCGGTACCGACATTGCCGAATTGCTGCTCAAGAATTGCCCGTTGGAGGCGGCCGCCGCCCCGCCCAGGCCGCCATCAGTGGCGTCGAACGCGAGCCAGATGTCGTCGGAAGGGGCGGGCGTCGTAGCTCCGCCCGACGACCAACAGGCCCCGCCCAGAGAGGACGAGGCTACCCGGAAGTTTCGCGAGTACCTGCTCTACGGTTCGTGCAAGGAGGCGTTAGGTACGACCGTCGCGCGTCACCGGAGGTAGCGAATTTACCCTCGCCTCTCTCGTTGCAGAGTGGGCGATGAAGCGCGGCCTGTGGGGCCACGCCCTCTTCCTCGCGAGCAAGCTCGACAAACGGACCTACGCAGGAGTGATGACGCGCTTCGCCAACGGACTCGCGATCAACGACCCGCTCCAGACGCTCTACCAGCTGCTTTCGGGGAAAGTGCCGGCCGCCGTGACGGTAAGACGTTCGAACTACTGATCGGAAACAGCGTATTCGGACCTACGGCTTCAATTTAACTAGGCTTAAAATGGTGAAAGTCCTTAAAATAGTGCCGGGTCATTTGAATTACAGGGATGAGGATCGATTTAGATGTTTAAAAGATAAAGTTGGTGGTGGGTTATTTGAACTACCGTCCGAAAATGGCAGGTTTCGATGAGGCGGTTCGGAATGGTAAAAATTATTTGAACCACATACCTCACCGGAGGAGTCGATTTGTCGGTTTAAAATGGTAGAAATCGTTAAAATAGTGACAGGTCATTTGAACTACTCGGCGAAACTGGCGTCGACGACTTCGGTATGGCACTTCAGAGAAAATCGGTAATATAATGACGACTCATTTGAACTACTTACCGCAAGTGACGAATTCGCACCGAAGGGGTCGATTTAACGGCTTAAAATAGTAGAAATCGTTAAAATAGTGTCATTTGAACCACTCCGCGGACCTCGCGTCGACGACTTAGGTATGGCGCTTCAGAATGGTGAAAATCAGTAAAATAATGATTCATTTGAACTACTTACCGGAAGTAACGGATTCGCATCGAAGGAGTCGATTGATTGAAAGGTTTAACAGGAAAGTCGAGCATTCTCATCGACAGGGTCGATTTAGAGGTTTAAAATCGCGAAAAATTGTAAATTTAGTGCTTGTTTATTTGAACTACTGACTGGAGGAGGCAGATTCTCAACGTAGCAGAATAGCAGAAATGTGTAAAATAATGACGGTTCATTTAAACTACTTACCGCAAGTGACGTCTTCGCATCGAAGGAGTCGATTTAACGGTTTAACAGGGAAGCCGAGGATAGGCGACAGCGTCGATTTGGAGGTTTAAATTCGCGAAAAATCGTAAATTTAGGGTCGGGTTATTTGAACTACTTACCGAAAATGGTGATTCGCATCGCATTTTCCCTTAAGCGTTTCAGAATTTCACCAATGGGTAGAAAATAATGATGTTTCATTTGAACTACTTACCGGAATTGACGGATCCTCATCGAAGCGGTCGATTTAACGGATTAATATGGAAAAAATCGCTAAAATAATAACGGGTAAAACTACTCGGCAGAACTCGCGTCGACGACTACGGCGTAGCGATTCAGAAAGATAAAAAACGTTAAAATAATAGCGGGTCGTTTGAACTACTGACCGGAAGTCGCGCCCTCGCCTCGAGAGCGTTGATTTCGCGATCGGACACCCTTCCGTACGATCATCTATTTCGTTTCAGTGCGTCGCGGACGAAAAGTGGGGCAACTGGCGACCGCACCTCGCGATGATCCTGTCGAATTCGTCTCAGCGGCCCGAACTAAACTGCAAGGCAATCACGAGCCTGGGCGATACGCTGCTGAACGGCGGCGACATCTACGCCGCCCAATTTTGTTACCTGATGGCCGAGGTGGGATTCGGGGGCCACGGCGCCCCCGACGTCCGTCTCGTTTTGCTCGGGTCCGACCACAGGGCCCCGTATCCGCAATTCGCGACCAACGAGGCGATCCACATGACCGAGATCTACGAGTACGCGTGTAGCCTGAACGATCGGCGCTTCGTCATCGGCGAGTTTCAGGTCAGAAGTGGGATTTTAGTGGAAAATTTTCTTTTTCATTAATGTTTATATTTTTTTCACTAGATCTACAAATATCTGCTCGCTACGCGATTGGCCGACTTCGGTTTGCCCGAGAAGTCGCTCGCTTATCTCGAGAAGCTTGCCGAGTATATAGTCGGTAGCCCCGGCGAAGTGTCACCTACGTTTGTGGATCACGTGTGCGTCCTCGCGGACCGTCTCAAGTTTTACGATCCCGTGGGGGACGTGGAGGATGAGTCGCAGTTCGGGAGCCTCCTGGAGACGAGCCGTCCGGACCGATCGTGGCTCGACGCTTTGAAGACGGTCCAGAGGGACGTAAAGGCGGGCGTCATTCAGACTGACGTGGAGCCGCCCCCGCAGGCGACTTACGAGGCCGATTACGCGACGTGGCAGTACCAGCAGGAACCGCCTGCGCTCGCGGATCAGGCGACTACGCCCTCAGGTGAGCGGTCGTTTTGAACTACCGCGCGGGATTCTCGAAATACGTCGCGCGATGCGAAATATGTCGGGAAAATGGGGATCAAGTCGTTTGAACTACTCGGTGGAATTCGCTAAAAACGAAATGGATTTGCGCTTTCGGTTCTATCTTTCGTTGAGTTCGTTTGCCCTACTCGGCAGATTTTCCATAGTTTTGAACCGTCTGACTCAGTTTTTCGCGCAAAATAAAATGAATTTACGTTTTTACCGGTTAAATTTTGCCGAGGTCGTTTGAACTACTCAGTGAAAATTTGATAGTTCTCGACCTCTGATTTGCGTTTTAGGTTCTATTTTTAGTTGGGGTCGTTTGAACTATTCTGTTAATTGTCGATAATTCCGGACCGTCTGCCTAGTTTTTTTTGCGGAAAAGAAAATATTTGTGCTTTTGCCGTTAAGTTTCGTCGAGATCGTTCGAACTAGTCGGTGGAATTTCGATAAATTTCGACCGTCTTATTCGGTTTTTCGCGAAAATCAAAATAAATTTGACTTTTTGGCGTTGAATTTCGTAGAGGTCGTTTGAACTACTCGGTGAAATTTTGTCAATTCTAGACCGCCTGCGTCGGTTTCTTGGCTTCTAGGTTCTATGTTTCCCGAGGTCGTTTGAACTACTCGCCGGATTTTCAATAATTCTGGACCGTCTCTTTCCGTTTTTCGCGAGAAAACCAAATGAATATACGTTTTTGGCGTTAATTTTCGTAGAGGTGGTTTGAAATACTCTGTGGAGTTTTGGTAATTTTTAACATTCTGTTTCGCAAAATATAAAACGGATTTGTTCTCTTTTCGTTAAGGTCGTTTGAACAACTCTGCGAAATTTTGGTAATTTTCGATTTGCGCTATTTGAACTACGTCGCAGTACTCGAATCGGAATTAATTTAGTTTTCCATTTTTTATACGTTGCACTAATACAGTGGAGTACCCTCCGGGTCAGTACCAAGAGCGGCAGGCGCAGTACTGGACCGGGCAGCAGCAACAGCAACAGTTCCAGCAGTGGCAGCCGGAGGCCGCTCCCGCTAATTTCGAATCCGAAGTGGCGAACAACAATCAGTCTCAAACATCGTACGATATCAACAGTCAATCGAAGGTGAGTCGGGCGCTTCGTCTGCTCTAAAAAAAATCGCTTTTTGGTTCATTTGAACTGCCGGGCATTTCAAGTCGTCCGCGCCCGAGGTTCGCTCGAACTTCTCGGAGTATTTTTAGCCGCCCGCGTCTTTTTTTCCTTACACGCAAAACCAACGATTAATCGAGACTGTTTTCCGTGGCCGCCGCCGCGTCTCCCCCTCCTCCCTTCAGCCTCGGCCCGTGGCGGAACAGGAGGAAGCCGCCCGCCGCCGCCGCCGCCGCCGCCGCGACGACGACGGCGACGACGACCCGCCCGAAGTAAGTAGTAGCGACGGCCCGCCACCTGTCGTTTATTTGCGTAAGCGCGCCGGCAAGTGTGCCGGCGGGGGCGTGGCCGGCGAGTCGCTCGAGCTGCGGCCGATCAACGGTACCGCGACCACGCCCCTCGACAAAGACAGCCTGGACTTTTTCGAGGGCAACGCGAAACCACCCGAACGGGCGTGGTTGTTGCAACGCGAGGGCGGGGCCGCCACCGGCCCCGCCCCCACCGCCAACGACTCGTACAACACGTTCGACGTCAAGTACGGTTACCGCGGCGGCAAGCTGCTCAAGTTCAAGTCGCTCGACATACCGGAGTTCCGGAACACGACGGTCACGTGTTCCGCGTCGAGCAACAAGGTGTCCGTCTCGTCGGACAACATCAAGTCCGACCTGTATAGTAAAACGGCCGCGTCCAATAGGCCGGACGTCGTTACGGACACGATCAACGCGTGGGCGAGGCGGGGCGGGAGGGGCGTGTTCTCGAACCTAAAGTCGACCTTGTTCAGTAGGTCGACGTCCGACAAGATCGTCTACAAACCTTTAATATTCGGCGGCACTTATCCGATCGATTGCCCGATCGGGGGCAGACCCCGCGGGGGCGGCGTCGAACGTGCGCCCTTCGACAAGGGCTCGCCGCCGAAGTTTAGGGAGTACGGACCCCCAAAGACGTTCGACATCGATCAGCCGTTCTGAGGGGGCGGGGGCCGTTTTGTTTCTCGTCTAGACGCGCTTCGCAGGTGTTTCGTTACGCGCGCCGCAAACGCCGACGTCGTAGGTTCGGAAACGGTTAAGGTCATTTGAACTACTGTTCATTTATGTCTCGAAACCAGTTATTCTGCACTCGCGCATCTTAAGAGAACGAAAACGCTCGGTTATCGGAAAACGGTTAAGGTCATTTGAACTACTACCTTTTCGGTTGAAAGGCGCGCGCATAGTAATAGTAACCCACAGATTCATTCGCTCGACCGACAGTTTTCCCATTTGCGTTTCATTTGAAAGTCACACATTCCAAGTACCGCATTTGTTTGAAAACTTGTTGTTCTGCACTCGCGCATCTTAAGGCCCGAAAGCTCGGGCGTCTATCACAAAACGGTTAATATCATTTGAACTACTGCCTTTTCGGTCGAAAAACGCGCTCTTCGTAACGCACGGATTGACCTCATGGTCGATTTTGTGCTTTTGTTTTTATAATATTCGGAACCAAGCGTTAAAAAATGGGTAACTTGATTTGGACTACTTTTACTCGAATTATGTTTTGAAACCTGTTTGTCTGCACTTACGCATTTGAAGAGCTCGAAAACGCGAGCGTTTATCACAAAACGGTTAATATCATTTGAACTACTGCCTCTTCGGTTGAAAAACCCTCCCTTTGTAACGCACGGATTGACCTCATGGTCGGTTTTGCGCTTTTGTTTTTATAATGTTCGGAACCAAGCGTTCAAAATCGGGTAACTTCATTTGAACTACCTTTATTCCAATTATGTTTCGAAACCTGTTTTGTCTGCCCGACATTTGAAGTGCTCGAAAACGCGGGCGTTTCTCACAAAACGGTTAAGATCATTTGAACTAATGCCTCTTCGGTTGAAAAACGCGCCCTTCGTAACACACGAATAATCCTCATGGTCGGTTTTGGGTTTTTGTTTATATAATATTCGCATTTATATTTTAAAACTCGTTGACCAAAACTCACTCATCTTGCGAGAAGACGGTTAAGGTCATTTGAACTACCGCCTTCTCCGCGCGTTTATTGCCGGTAATTACGGTCCGAACCGCCGCATTTATTTTTTGGCCGGGTTATTTGAACTACTCCCACCGTGCCCCGCCCGCGCGTCCCCGCACCGCTTTTATATGTGCAAAGTAGTTTTTGCGTGATAATACGTAGCCCGTTATCATTAGGCAATGTTAAGGAATCGTTGTTAATTCCAAGAGTTGTTTGTATCGCCCTGTATACGGCGCACGCGGTGGAAGATATTCGGCGTTTTGCCAAAACGTTTTTCTTTGTAGCGAACCATATTGGCAAAATTAAAGGAATTGTTTTATTTTGGCAAGCCGAATATTTTCGCCCAACGTTTAGTGGTGCAAAAAAAACACTGTTATACACACGATAATTTATGGATTTTTTTTATATAATATATATATATATATATATATATATATAGACAATTTACACCCCATGACGTAGATACGACGAACGACATTTATATTTTGTACGCTGCGTCTACACGTGTTATATTTTCGGGCTTGTAAACGTTGACAAATAAAGTGTTGATGATTTTTCCGTGCGTTTCAATATGGCGGCGGTTGCGTTTCAGTTTTTTCCAATTCCACCGATTCGACGATTTCGCATATGCATTCTCCTTCTCCGTGTTGGTTTTAGGGCCGGCCCCAGATATCGATGCCGAATCATCGTTCGGCCGTATTCGGCGACGAGCCGCCCCGCGAGGCCCTCGAACGAAACGCCCAACCGCCGCCGGCGACGAAAAAGTCGCCCGTCAAAGACGCCAAACAAGGAACGGGGTGGTTCGGCGGCATCTTCAGCAAACTGTCGATGAAACCCAAGAACCAGATGATCCTGCCGGACGATAAGAATCCGAAGGTATACTCGGACCAGAAATATAGTGACCCCGCGATTGGCAAAGTTAATGTTAAAAGTGATTAACTTTGCCTACTGTTTATTGCCCCAAAACCGCAGAACCTTACCCGTCTTAGGAAATTTTCTACCTACACGCGTTTTGTTGTGTTATCGAATCGATTTTGTAGTCTTTATTAAAATGTTTTATTTTTAATATTTTCAGAAGTTTTTTTTTTCGCGTAGCTCTCTTCAAAATATAAATCATTTGTAAAAAATTGTAAACACTCAAAACAATGGATCCTTTTTTTATTTGCCGAGGTAGTTTGTCCTCTAATTTGTCATTAGTTTCGGCTACCATCTTCACTTCGTCTTCAAATTCTGCGTTGTTTTCCACGTCTTCTTCTTCATTTAACGGTCTGCACATTTTGAAGTGTTAAAAAAGGAACCTTCAAAAATTATTTAATTGTAAGATTCTAATAAATATTTATCTGTATTCTTGCGGCGTACATTTATCTACCGGGAATATCATCTATAGTCTTAAAAGACTGTTTTTTTTTACAAATCGAAGAACTATTTAGAAAATACCAAAGTACAACATGAAGAATGTTGTTAATCGACAGGCACACAAGACAAAAATGATTATTTTCAACTTTTCCTGTAAGGTAAATAAAGTACAACTACTTACTCTTACCCTTTGAACTATCCTTTGAAAACAGACTCGCAGGGTCAAAGCTCGAGAATCAGGTACATAAACTGGAAGGATCACAGTCAAAATCTCCTTAATTTATACGAACATCTTGCAATTTAAATTAAACTCTTAAGAACGATAAATATCACTTGATGTTAAAAAAAAGCTTCTACCTATTCGAAAATAAATTTATAAAAATTTCAAGTCTCTACAAATATTCGTTACGGTGCATCTCAGGCAAGACTTACTTAATAAAGAATAAATATCTGTCAGTTTTACTACGATCCTGCGAAAGTCTGCGGTTAAGGTACTGTAAAGTGCTTAAAACGTCAAAGCAATAAAGGCACTATATTTTTGGTCGTATTATAACGTAACAGTGCGAAAGCTTCGCTCCGCAAGGAGCACTTATATAGGGATAAGTAACCGAGGACGGCGGCGGGATGGTAGTTCAAACGTCCCGTTCGATAATCGTAATTTATTTATGAATCGTCAGATCGTTTGGGACGAGGCGAAAAAACGATGGACCAACGTCGACGAAGACGGCAACGAAGCGACTAGCGAGTTCAAACCGCCTCCCAAAATGGCGGACGTCAACCCGCTGCCAATGCAACGCTACGCCGATCCCGCCCCCAATTACCAACCGGCGACCGAGAACGCAGGGGCGCCACCCAAAGCCAACATGTTCAAGCTGCAGAGGGGCCGAAGTGAGTGTGCCCCAAGGATCCATTCCCGACCCCCCAAGTATACTTTTATTCTCGTCTCTCTCAGATTTGAAGAACTCTTACGTGGACGTGTTTAACGGCGCGAAAACTGGGACGACGGGCGGCGCGCCGCCGCCCCCGGGTGAAAAAGTCGCCGCCCCCCTTCAGATGAACTTTTTCGTGCCGCCGACGGTTCACGACCTGACCGCCCCCGTCGACTTTTTGACGCCTGCCGCCGGGCCCCTCGGAAACCTCGGCGATCAGGTGAGTGGGACGTTCGAACTACCGCCGTATTCGACGTCGGACGGTAGTTCAGATGACCCGTAAACGACGACGTAAAATTCGCAGGCGCGGGACACTTAGAGACGGAAGGCGAATCGACGCAGGAAGCCACGCCCCCACGCGCGATTTGTGAATACTGCTTGATACTCTAGGTACATTTTTAAAAATATTTATATATATATGTATATTGTTGTTAGGCTGGGGAGGGGGATTAAATAATACATGCCGAGGTACCGTTTTTTTTCTATCCAAGTTATATTCATTTACATAATAAAATCTTATCGTTTTATACATAATATCTCAGGTATGGCATCTATATATAATATACAAATCAATGCGTAAGTAAAAATCACTCGATTAAACAGTTTCGGGGGCGGGACGATTTTCGAACCGCTCCCGAAACGAAATTTTTTATCTTACAAGAGCGAACACCGCGGAGCAAATGTAGTCGTACGGCGGCGAAGGCGGTACGGAACCGCCCCCGAATACGACGACAAACTAAAACGAAAAATTCGCGAATCACTCGCGAGACTAGTAGTAAACGCCATGAAAATCGGCTAAATTTTGTCGCTTCGAAGGTGCACCGGTAGTTCAAACACCCCCGTCGAAGAAAATCGCAGCCTCAAAGGTGAAAACTGCCGGTAGATCAAATGCGTCTCGAGAAAAATGGCCCGATAAGATAAAGAGACGGTAAATTGCCGATAGTTCAAAGGTACAAGAAAATCGCGGCTTCTAATGCTCGAGATAACGAGAGCAGAGGGTAAAAATGCGGGTAGTTCAAACGAACCTCGGTTGACGATAGTTTGCGTGCGCGTTTTAAACCGCAAACGGGATTGCGCGATGGCGGTAGTTCAAAAGTTTGAGATAACTTGAACACTGCCTACCGGTAGATTAAATGCGCTTCAAGGAAAACGGCGATCGTGCGACGACGCCGCGTCCAATCAGGTCAAAGAGACGGTAAGTTACCGGTAGTTCCAACGTTTACTTTGGACGTCGAAGAAAATCGCAGCTTCAAACGGTCAAAACACGGGTAGTTCAAACGTACTTGCCAAACGTGCCAAGATTCCCGCTCGAACGAATAGTTGACGGAGAAAACGCTCGAAAGACCGCGGTAAATCCAAGAATAACCGGGGTTGCACGACGCCTAGTAGTTCGAAGGTCACCGTCGGTTAGTTTTGGGCGCAACGGAAGTCGAACAAAATCGCCGCTTCGAAGGTTTAAGACGTCGAACACAGAAAGTAAAACCACGGGTAGTTCAAACGTACCTCAGTTCAGATGTGTCGCTTTAAATCTCTAACTTATAGCCTCGAGCGAAGAATTAAAAGAGAAACGCCCCCGATGGAGCAAGCCTTCGAAGTTTCAGACATCGAGTGCGGAGCATTAAAGCCACCGGTAGTTCAAACGTACCGTACGGCTAGTTGGTATATGCGGTTTTGAACCGCCAATTTGGAGTTTCGAACGCGGATACGAAGCTAAACAGCGGTAGTTGAAACGACCCCCCTCCCCCCCTTAAGAGAAGCCCGCCCCTGACTAGGCACGTCGCTACGAGTCGTTGTCGTGGACGAACCGACGCTGAGGTTCGGGCGTGTAACGGAATCTGGCGCGCAGGTGTTGCGGTGAACCAGGCACCGAACAGCTCTGCGACAGACACCTGGGCGGCGGCACCGGAGGCGACGGCGACACGTATCTGCAAAGAACAAACGTGATCGAAACCACTCACCCTCGTCGGTACGGTCGAAACTAACTGACCTGCGCGAAAGACTGGGCGAGTTGGGGGCGTGACTTTCAAGGAACGCCCGTCGTAACGCCAGAGGACTCTGACCGTCGCCGCCTCTGCTCAGCCGGGGCGGTGGTTCCGGACTTTGGTGCCGCGACGATCTCCCGCTGCGGTCGCCACCAGTCAGCTGCATTTTGATATACGAGGCGAACCGTTTCTTACCTAGACACACGGTCAAGGAGATGGAGATATGGGGGATTTATTTAGAGAGTACTAAGAGCCTAATGAATGAAAGAATCGCTTTACTTTCTCTTCTAGAGGAGGAAGTGAAAATGTCAAAGGTCTAAATACTGATATAATAGGAAAGAGAAGGAGACATCAGAAGTCTGCCCAAATCATATCCTAACTAGTTGCGTAGCCGATTTAGAGTACTCGAATCTTAAAACTCAAACATAATAAACTGAAACAAGCAGCACATTCACGGGAGGGAGCAAAAATGTGGAAGTTCAACTACTGATAGAAGAGCAAAGAGAAAGAGACTGCAGAATACTGGTAACGCAATTCATTGACTTCATGAAAGAGATATTTTATTACTTGTTCCACTTTTACTACTATTACATTCATGAGAGAGGCGTGTCTAAAGTACTGATATAATAGGAATGAGAAAGAGAAAATATCAAAAGATACTTTACTTGTTCTTCTCCAGAAGGGAGTCAAGATTTGCGAACATAATTGAATGAAACTGGCAGCAGTACAGTACTAAAGAGCTCATTAAAGAAGTACTTTACTTCCTCTCATGTGGGAGAGTGTGACATAATGTATGTGAAGAAGCTTCCCTATTTAGAGTTCTAGGAGCTCAGTTCACTGAGGTCATGAAAGAGTGACTTCGTCTTCTAGAGTAGGAGGCAATTCATTGAGCTTATGAAAAAAGTACTTTACTTCCTGTTACGTGCCCTATTAAGAGTGCGACTAGTATAGTTCGTTGAGGCCGTGAAAGAAGACTTCACTTCCTCTTCCAAATGAGAAAGTGTGGGCCATTATAGATGGAAAAAAAAAAAGAAGGGAGAAGCCTTACCGACGTCAGTCTTTGCTCGCTCCTCCTCCGCCTCTTTCAGTAGTTGCTGCTGCTTGCGCTGATGGTAGAAGCGTTGCAGGATGACGGGGCTCGTGTTGCCGCAGTACGACGCGGGTTCCTCCGTCTGGAAGTGGCTGCTGCGCAGCGGCAACGGAGACCCGTACTCGGAGGTCCACCTCGTTTCGCTCGACGCGCGCGCCTTTAACTGCCGAAAGCGGTAGTAGTTCGAATGTCCCGCAGGACAATAGCGACGAACGCACCTGCACGGGAGGAACCGAAACGTCGGTGGCGAACTTGCGTCGGGGTAGAGGAGAGCATATCGCCGCGGGGTACCCCCGAGAGGCGACGGCCTCGTCTTTACGTCGCAGGGAGGCGATGTGGTTCTCGTACGCCTGCAGCAGAGAGAAGCCGCCGCCCCTGCCGGACGGTTTGCCTGCTTCCTGCTGTTGCTGCTGGGCGGCCGCGTGAAACGCGTCGAGGCGGGAAGCGCGCGCCTGCGCGTCGCCTCCTTTCCGCGCGAAGCCGTCGCCACCACCATTGACGGCCGGGGGCGGAGTCGCGCGTTGCCGGAACGCGTCGCCGCCCAAACTGTTTACCGGAAGGCGACCGGACTCGAGCGGTTGGGCGAGTCTGCGAGAAGGGGAAGTCTTGAACTCTCATTTTCAATAGTAGTTCAAATGTCCCGAATCTGTTACGGCGCGCCGAACCGGATGTTGCGTTCCCGACAAAAAGCACCCCGACCAGTAGTTGAAATGTCTCGATTCAATCGAATTCGCATACGTAAATTTGAAACAAAAGCACCACGACCAGTAGTTCAAATCCAATCGAATTCCAATAAGTCAATTTTAAACAAAAAAGCACCCCGGCCAGTAGTTCAAATGTCTCGATTCAATGACATTGCCATACATAAATTTGAAAGAAAAAAAAGCACCACGACCGGTAGTTCAAATGTCTAGATCCAATCGAATTCCCATAAGTAAATTTGAAAGAAAAATAGCGCCCACGACCAGTAGCTCAAATGTCCGAATTCAAACAATTCCACGATTACGTACATTGAACGCGATGCGCGTCATTCGAAACGTTAAACTCGAATGTTTCGATTCGATCGAATTCAATCACACGTTGATTGCCAACCACCAGATAACTTGTAGATTACGTCCTTATATAGGACGCCGACTACGAGTTATCTCGTCCTGTGTTTAGTTCCCATTTTTGTTCAGCTACGTTATTAAACTCGCAGTATATCATTGCAAAAATCGATCGATGTCTTCTGGCAAAAGAACAAAAAATCAATGCTCACTTTTGAGAGAGATAATTGACATAATTCATAAGTCCTTAAAACATCTTTTATGATTCTTGATGATATGGTCTGTTCGTAGATATAAGAAAGTGACCAATTGCTTTTGAATGAATACCTAAAGTTTCTGAATTTAAATTCTGGTAAAATTGTGATCCGTAATAGAAAATAATTTATACCTACCTGTGTTTAATATTCTTTGGTTTGGTATACTACTTAGTTTAAGTTTATTAGTAATCATTGTTATTTCGCGTGTAATACAGCGTGTGTTGAATCGTGTGCGAATTAAGGAATTTAAGTAGGTAATAAAAATAATTTCTAATTTTATTTTAGATTTAAACATAAATACATACATAAATAAATATTGTTTAGTATCTTCCCTAACAAAACCCCAAATAATTAAATTCTAAGCAAAGTACGGACCTGTTCGGCCATATTTCATTCTTACAGCTTGCCCGGATCTTTAATTAATTCGTATCAGTTAATCATTTTATTATATCTATGAACAGACTTTACCGCACATATACGCGAGTAGTTCAATCGTTCCGTAAAGTAAACGAACCCCAACATAAAACCCACATACGTGTACCATATTCCCAATTCGTTAGTAAGTTAATAGGGTCGGGGGAGTAGTGGGGGCGGTGTATTAGTAACCACGCGCGCGCGCGCCCCGCCCCCGCCCTACCCCCGGCGCGCACACCAAAACACACGTGACAGGAAAGAAAGAGAGAAAAAAACTGCGATATACAAACCTACGGGAAAAGGGGCGTGGCTCGGTGCGGGGGCGGGGGGCGCACCGACTACTCTACGCGCGTCAATGGGCCGCGTCGCCGCCCCTAAATACACAACCAAAACGCTACTGTCACGCAAAATCAAAAAAATAACCAACAAAAAAAGTCGGGGGCGGGTTGCGCTGGCGGTTAGGGATTACTGCGGGAGCGGGTGAGGGAAGGGGCGGTCCAAGCGAAAAGAACGGCGTGCGGCGCTTACCGGGGCGTAGGGGAGGCGGCGGCGTTAGAGGCGGGCGCGTCCTCCGTCGCTGCGGTAGTTCGTTCGTACCACTCGCCGACGTCCACGGGGGCGGTCTCGCTCCGCTTGACGAAGGCGTGGCTCTTGAGCTTCGCGTACTTGGGACGTCGTTCCTTGTCCTTGGTGAGGCTGCAATTATTGTTAGCGAACAAAAATTATACAGGGTGTTTCAAAAACAACGATATTAAAAATAATGTATCTTACGAGAGATTTATAAGTAAAACGTTTACGTCGACTTAATACAGTCAGCTCAACATTATATGTTGTATATGTAGATCCAATAACTAAAAGTTGTCACTATTTTTTTAATAAATAATAAATTACAAAAACCAAAACAAAAAATATTACTGTTTTATTTACACGGTGAAAACTGTTAATATGTGCGCGCAGTCAAAAATTAACAACAGAAAATAAAACCAAAGTAATAAATAGAATAAATAAAATTAGAAAACCAAAAAAAAAAAAACAATAAAAATAATAATTTATTTTCTCAGTCAGAATAACACCGAATGAAAAAATAATAACCTTTTCTTTCAATTATTTACATAAAACGAAGGAAAAAAAACAAAATAAAAATCTATAAATTTAAAAATAAAAACGAATAATAATGAATTAAAATAATTTTTATATTTAATAAATAGAAAAAAAAATGTAGAAAACCTAAAAAACAATAACAATAATAAAAATAATATTTTTTTAGGAGCATAAAACCGACTAAAAAAATTAATTTTTAACTAATTTACATAAAACAAAATAAAAATCAAAAAAATAAAAAATTAATTTTTACTAATAACGAACAAGAATAAGCAAAAAAAATTCTTACTGTTGTTTGCATTTGGTATATACGCGCAGTCAAAAATAACAACCGCAGAATAAACCAAAATAATAAATACAAAATATAAAAAACGTAGAAAACCTAAAATACAGTAACAATAATAATATATTTTTTTAGTCCGAATAAAAAAATACTTTTTTTCCAATTATTAACATAAAAAGAAGACAATAAAATCTATAAATTTAAAAAATATAAATTAATTATAAGAAATTAGAATAACAAAAAAAAGTTTCTTACGTTTTTTTACATTTAGTATGTACGCGGTGTCAATTTTTTTTAAAATAATAATAAACAATAAAAGTCAAACAACAACAAAAAATAAATAAATAAAATCCTTTAAATTTGCGTAAAACTGCAACGTTTGTGCGCTAGGCCAGCGGCGGCGCGACTTACCAGCACGCGACGAAGTCGCGGAACTCCGGGGAAAAATGCTTGTCCTTGGGCAGTGACGGTGGGTCGGTGCCTATCACCTTCGTCAGCACCTCGAAGTCGGTCTTGCAACCGGGGTAGGGGAATGCCCCCGTCGCTAGCTCGACGAGAGTGATTCCTAGAGACCACACGTCCGCGCGGACGTCATAGTCGGGATTACGGGGGTCAGGCTCGATACGTTCGGGCTGCGAAAATAGGTGAAATCGATCGCTCGTCCAGTGGCGCGCGCCGTTTTCCGTAACACTTAGTTAACTATCAAACTTAAAGTTAACTGGCGCCTTTTATCTAAGTTTTATCGGGACCGTTCAAAAACAAAAATAATAAAAAAAAATTTGGTTAAACATTGGAAGGCTTTTCAGGTTCAGTATACTTATCAGTGTGTTGCTCCGTTCACGATGATATGCGGGGTGGTGTCAAAGTTTACAGGAAAAAAAATTATGAATTACTCGAAAACCTTTTCATTAATTTTGACAAAAGTTAACGCTTTAATCATTTGTTCCAATCGTGGAACTCTATTAATTTTTTCTTTCCTTTTCCTTATAAATTATTATTTATTAATTAAACAAATTGAACAGTTTTATTTTTGACTGGTCGACTTAAAAAAAAAATAATCTACAAAACATCAGTAGCGGACCATCATTTTGAATAAAGAAAATTACGACTAAATAATCAAAAACAATAATAATAATTTAGAAGAACCAAAATAAAAACGTTTTTCCATGGTTTCCAATTATTAATATAAAGAAGCACACAAATACAAAAAAATAAATAAATAGATACTTAAAACTAATTTAGAAAAATCACAAGACATTTTTTTTATTTCTATTGTGAAAATTCTATTTATGTGGTTTCCAATTATATACAGGGGCTCGCGAAACCTTGCAGAAAAATATGCCATTTTTTTCAAAAAATATGTATATAAAAATTAAGGTCAGTTGTCTATAAATATTAAAATTTAATAATAGGTAATTTAGAAGAATAATACTTTATAAAAAACAAAATGAAAAGAAACTTTATATAAATCAAAGTCAGTTCTTCACTATATTAATTCAACAAACCGAAATGAAAAACATTTTTTTAACTCATTTTGCTTTGATGATAAAAACTCTGTATAATAAAATCCAATAATAGTTAATTTATATAAATCAAGACATTTTTTCTACTGATTTTATTTACATAGTGGAAACTGTTCCTATTTTGTTCAATTCAAGCTCGTAAAATGTTCACAAAAATATAAAATTATTACAAAATTAATAAAAAAAAAACAATAATAATTAAGAAAAACCCTAATGAAAAAAAACTTTATAACAATGAAAGTCCACACACTAATAATTCAGAAAAACCTAAATGAAAAAAATATACTTTTTTTACCATTCTGCGTTTTTATGGTGTAGTATCCAATTATATAAAAGGGCTTGTGAAACTTTGCAGAAAAATATATAAACGTCAAATTGAGCCTATAAATTCAAAAACAATAAAAACAAATTTAATTCAGAAAAATCAAAAGAAATGTTTTCGAGTGATCCTTCATATTTACTGCAAATACTTCTTATTCTGCTGATTTTCAGGAAAACATGTAAAAACGAAAAACAGTCGCATATAAATTCCGAAATAAATTATATATATATATATATATATATATATATATATATATATATATATATATATATATATATATATATATATATATATATATATATATATATATATATATATATATATATATATATATATATATATATATATATATATATATATATATATATATATATATATATATATATATATATATATATATATATATATATATATATATATATATATAAATTTCGAAAAAAAGACATTTTTCGGCTGTCTTTTTGTTTACTCTTTTAGTGTGATTTCTAATTTTATGATATTATATGATGATTTGTTTGTTTGTTCTTAATTTCTTGTATGTAAAACAAAAAATAATGGTTAATGTCTAAGTATTTATTTTTAAAATTAAACAACAGCGTGTTCCCAATCGTGTTTGCGAAAAAGTTACCTATTTCAGAGATATTCATTCTTTCTGACCAAAACTGTGATACTCTTAATAAATTTAAAAGATTTTTAAGACGCCATGTATTGTCCAAATTCTAAATTCTCTGTGCTTAGCTTTTGGTTTCCGTTTATCTGGAATTTTATATTTGGAATTTATATTTTGTATTTTTTATGTAGCATAATGCTAAATAAGGATTATATTATTATTATTAATGACCTTTTAATCGACTTTCAAGAGCTTATAAAAAATAAATTAATTTCAACAAATGACGCGAAGGAACAAAAAAAATTCTTTCGGGCGGATTTTTCTAATATCACTTACCGCCATGTAGGCCGCGCATCCGGCGCTCCTGGACTTCGCCATGGAGTCGACGAGACGCCCGCTGATGCCGAAGTCGCACAGTTTCACGTTACCACGGGCGTCGAGCAGTATGTTCGACGGCTTAACGTCCCGATGGATGACGTTGTGCTGGTCCTTCAAGTACGACAGCGCCTCCACCGTCTGTTGGACGAATTAGAGAAAAAAAAAAACAACTTCCGCCGATGCCCCCCACCCCACCATTAAAAACTCAAATTACCGCGACGCACACTTTGCCGAGGACTTTCTCGGGCACCGGCCGCTTGATCCGCTTGAGCAGCTTGTCGAAGCACGTGTCCATCAGCTCCATGCAGATCCACACCTCCGCTTCGGTTATGAAACACCCCAAACACTTGACGATGTACTTGCAATGCGACTTTACCACCACCTCGATGTCCATGATGATGCGCTTGCTCTCGTCGTTGTTACCGGAGCGTCTCATTTGCTGCAAAACGCGCGGCCCGTCCCGTCAATTAAAAGTTAGCACATAGAAGCACGAAAAAAAAAAATAAATCTATACAAAGCACTCAGACACACACAGGCTTCTTCGTTTCTCGATGTCTGGGGCGAACGGTTTCCACGACAACCACACCACACTGTCAAAGGCAACGACATACTCCGTGCGGACATATTTTGACGTATGACGGATCCATGTCGACGCAACCTAACCTTATCGTTAGATTCGCGTAGAAATCGGTTGAAATTAGTGTGGTTTGACGTAAAATGCTGTTTTGTATATTCGTTATCGGAAGTGATTGTGGTGCAGTGCCTAGAAATTTAAGAAATAGTGTTCGTCTTATGTGGATGTATATGGATTTGTGATATGTTATTCATTATGTTTAATTTAACATGGTTTCGGGATGGCTTGTACTCATACTGGTAACCAGGCCGGATGGGATCGGACATCCCGTATGAGATAATTTCGGGAACCGTTAGAAGAATCGATCGCCATTTTACCACAATTTATTTACAAGTTGTTCCACTGTTTGAGAATAGGTTAATTGATTGCATATCCGTTCCCCTTGGAGGTTACTGGATTAGCATAGTCCTTTTTAATTAACGCACCCTTCCAGTTTATAAAGAAAAATGTACCCCGAAAATGGCCGAATCATCCTAGCAATCGTGGTGAATAGAAGTAAAAGAAGAAGAACCTTATTGCTTGCTGTGGTATGTATTTTAACTTGACCCGTTTATCGTGTTTGTCGAAGTGGTTTTGTTTTTTTTTTTAGTGATGCAAAAAATTAATCATTAAAGGGATATGCCAGTTTCAAAAAGCGCAGAACAAGCGAGAGCCGTGAAATGAAGCATTAGAAAAAATCATGGATATAAGGCTACTGCAAATGTCAATTTGAAGAAGAGGAAGGGAATCTCCAACTGAATCAGAAATGAAACTGGAATTTCCTTTTTCTATTAAAAGTGACTTGAAGTAAAAATATGGTATGGTATCTAGAAAGATGAACAGGGCTAATGAAATGGCATTAAGTAATATATGAAAACTGAAAAGCTTGCATCAGTGCAAAAAAGGAAGTAAAATACCTAAAGCACCCAAGAGAATCTAGGGATAGTGTTATAGAATATATTATAGTATCCATTCTGCAAATAAACTCCTTACGAAATAAACCTGTTTCAATATTTGTTTAATAAGTACTTTGAATGTATCTTCGGTTGTGTCAGCTCCGAAAATCTTCACTTATTTCAAGTCCAGTTTGGAACCAACCTAAATTCTGCGCAGTCACTAGAAAGTGATGGTTTCGTCCGCCATGACTAAAAGTTCAAATGGCCTGAACCATACAAAAAGTATGTGGAGTAATATATGACACTTTTGGACAAATTTCTCCACTTAAAACAATAACCAAAGCTTTAACATAACAAATTCAACAAAACGTCTAAGATGGTCCATTAACTGCCCAATTCGGCGCTCATTTACTACTGCTCAAGCCTACCTTGACAGCAATTGTTTTCCCGCTCGGCCTGTGCCTCATTTTGACAACGTGCCCGCAAGTGCCGCTGCCCAATTCCTCCATGTGCTCCATATCTTTGATGTCCGTCTTGTATAGGACGCCGTCTATCGTTAAATGTCCGCTGATTTGCATAATCTCCTTAAGCCGCCGCTCCGTTTCCAAGTTTTCGTTGCGTCTAGTAGCGAAGGTCAAGTGCTGCGGCCTCTGCATCGTCGGGCTGCTGTTTAGGCCGACTGAAAGTAAGAAAACGGGGCCTACGGTTTCGGGACGTTGCGAGACGACGACAGCCTTACGTTGGAGGGCGGGCCTGCTCCCCCGGTGGTTCGTCGGCGGACTGGCGGGCAGGCGTTCGAACAGCGCGTCGATTTTCTGCTGCGTGTTGGACATTTTTTCGAGAACGCGTGGAACGACGCGTTCGCCCCCGATTTCGAAATCAAAACGAAACACGGACCCAATTTACTGACATAACAAAAATGGAGTGATACGGAGAGTTGACATGTTTGACGTTCCGTCGAAAAGTCTTCTTCTTGACGGCGACGCCGGCCATCTTCGAAAACCTCGCATGGCCGGAGACCTCCCGTACTAACCAAGGGTAAAAAACTTGGAAAAAATGAAAAGCTTACGAAGAAGCCTAATTGGGTTAGTATCGTGGGCTTAGTTTTAGGAAATCCAGATTTTCTCATAGGTTATGACGTCGCTTTTTATAATTATACCTAGGATGAATCTTCGGTAATGGGCGGATGCCCTGGGTATCTTTGCCCATAAAAATTAATATCAAATTACTTAACACGTTTTACGCGTGCTTAAGGTAGCATTAGAACAAAGCAATTCGCATGTTTAGAAGTCTGCCTAGTGGGGGGATCGAGAAACACTTCTGCGTGGTGAAGTAATTTAAATCTAGAATACCAGATATGTAATAAGTTATTATTCGTCAAGAGTAGAGGACCCAAGAATGTCCGGCCACAAAGCAGGGCAGTTATTAAATGATTTAGAGAGAACAAAATTTTATGTTGGTAGTTCAATTGCAATGAAATCTGTTTTCAAGTTGTCAATGGCGAGTAGTCTGTGATCAAAGATGGCGGGGATGTTTTTGGGCTATTAGCTATTACTACAGTGAGACCGAAAAATAACGAAAGTGCCTATAATGTTTCGTTTGAACTATCTGTTAATGCTTTATGTTCGTTTTGGCATAAAAAATTCGTATAAAATAAATTCTGCCTAATTAAGATGTCTCTTCTGCCTAATGTAGTTAGTTCCGTGATTAAGCGAGTATTTGACAGAGTATTTCTATCCATTGCGCGAAAAAAAAACGGCAAACAAGTAACACCGCAGTTTCTAACCTATGAAACGTTTATGACAAATGATACTGACATTTTCTCGAAATGCACCGTTTTTTAGATCTGCCACTATGACATAACCGCATACTTGTCGTTCGGCTAGTTTCCAGGTTTGACGAGAGATGGCGCCACTGTCGGGCGCGCGCGCGCGCGCGAGCCATCTGTTGGCGCCGACTTTTTTACAACATTTAGGACTTTTATCGGGATAATCGGAAATGTTGGAAAGAGTAAGATAGAAACACTGACTCCGGCATTTCTTTATCATATTTTATTTAACGTTTTGGTCAGATCTGATCACAATTTCAAGTCTCGAAAGGAAACAATATGGCCGCTCGTTGCGACATTGGTAAAACTAAAACCCCTAGCGATCTATTACTAAAAAAAAAAACCCTAAAACTAGGCGCGCGACTAAATCAAACCGACTAGTCGGTAAGACGCGGATTTGCAGTAGCCGACCTTCTTGCAGATCAGCTGCTTGTTGGCGTAGCGGTGGAGCATGTCGAACAAGACGTTGCCGTAATCTTCGATGAGGATGGCGCACTGAAAAAACGATGTCGCCCGTTGGAAGCCATTTTACCCACTACGCTCGGAAAATGAGGAGACGTGGCAACAACGCGCGGTCGAAATGCGAAGAGACGTTAAATGTTTGACCGCATTCCAATGTTTCCGGCATTTATTTGGTTAGTTACGCTTAAATAGAGCCTTTGTAGCCAAATGCTAGTCCAAAAGTTGAGCCAGTTGGCGACATTAAAGAACATAAAAATAAAGAAAAATACAATAGAAAAAAAATATTTTAAGCGTTGCCAAATGTATCGCTAAACCTTTGCGTTTCCGTCAACTTTTGAGGGTTCTTGTTTACAGGATATATCACTTTTCTGGAAAACTATAACTATAACGGTTACAACATAATATAATATAATATAATTATACCGGATGTCTTTTTTTACAGTAGGATGTTCGAAATTTCTAAGTACCAAGGTCTCATTCTTTTTTTTTTATATGGCACACGCCGTATATTATCCCATACAGGGATTGTAAAAAGTACTTAAATATCTTTGGTACTTGAGTCCTAATTTATTAACAACGACCTCAACGTCAGAATAAGAGAAACTAACCAAATACGCAAAAATTTGGGTTCGCGCTCGCCTCAGAATAAAATAGGTTACGCCCATGTTGCCAAATGTTGCGAATAGTCTTTAAAGTCGAACCGGTTGGTAAGAGTAAAATAATATTTAAAAAAAAAACTTTAAAAGAGTCTACACTTATACCGGATGTCTTGTTTTAGTGTATGTCTTTCAAAAGGTCTCATTTTGCCAGATTTATAGTATTATTGTTATTATTATTATTATTATTATTATCAGCGCTCTTCGAGTTCCTGATAAATATAAATATGGCAACATCGCGTTACATATTAATATATTTTATATGTATATGTATATATAAAAATAAATGAGAAAAACTTAAAAGTGGCGATTCCTTGTTTAAAACGAACGGTAGTTTGTTACAGATACCCCCCACAAATAATATTTTTTATCTCATTTCTGTACGTTTTTGGTATGTGGTTTTGTGTTATCGTTTACTTTTTTGAATAATAATAACAAAAAAAGCATGACGCTCGCTTAATTCGCCGCCATTTTACTATTAACCCGCGATTATTACTGTTATCCCCGCCCTCGTGACGATCGTTTACATACAGCGTTGCCAATATTCGCGAAGAAACGAGTATATTTTAAGGAGGTTATGTTTTCTTCTTCTCCTTTTTCAAAATAATTTTATGGGGCGTTTATGGTTTCGAAAGGCGTGAAACTTTATTGAAATACGATAGAAATTGCGTATAACGTTATTACATCGCCGCCGTTTTAATATTAATCCCGAACAAATAATTCTGTCGTCCTTCGAGATGAAACGATTATAGGTTATGTTTCCTTTTTTTTCTTTTTTTTTTTGTTTCACTTACCACTTTGATGGTTAATTTTTTCAAATTAAAGAACTAAATGTTAGAAAAATGCGGAGGAAAACGCTCACCCTCGACTTGTAGAGCTTAGGCAGTGCCCTGCAAGCCTTCTCCAATACGTGCTCGATGTCGTGGTCCACCTTCGGGTTCGATAGGATCTTGTCCATGGCGGTCACCGTTGCCTCGCATACAGCGCACTCCACTATCTCGGCTGGCACAAAAAATAAATTAAAGAAAAACAGGAAAAACAAAGACAACAAAACAATATACAAAATAAATAAAAAAAAAAACAACGTATAATAAACGCCACACTCTGTGCATAATCCAAAAAAACGCCCGAAGTAAAGCTCTGAACTCCCACGTTTCGTAGTTCACGATTTTTTTTATTCTCTGGAACTATGCAATAAATGACGTCATCGCCTATAACTCGAACGGTAGAGGTAACGATTTAAGTCAAAATTGTAAAAATTTCTGGAAAATAGGTCAGAATTTCTAAAACAATAAGCAACCATTTCTAGAAAATACGTAGAAACTCGTAAGAAAACAATTTGGTAAGTAAGTAATAATTAAAAAAAAATAACTAAAAATTTCGGGAAAATAAGTCAGAATTTCGAAAAAATAAGTGAACATTTCTGGAAAACAAATCAAATTTTCTAAAAAAAAATAGCAAAAATTTCAAGAAAGGCGCAATTTCTAAAAAATAGGACGGAAATTCTAAAAAACAAGTGGAAATTAAAAAAATTAAATAAAAGTTTCTGAAAAATAAATAAGATTTTTTTTTAAATAAGTAAAAACTTCTTGAAACTACGTCGGAATTTCTAAAAAATGAGTAAAAAATTCTAGAAAATAAGTAAATTAAATAAACATTCTTGAAAAAGAAGTCATAATTTCTAAAAAATAAGTCGAAATTTCCGAAAGATAAGTAATAATTTCCAAAAAATAAGTAAACATTTCTGGAAAATGAGTCATAATTTCAAAAAAATAAGTAAACATTTATGGAAAACAAGTCAGAATTTCTAAAAAATAAGTACAAATTTCTACAAAATCGGTAGGAATTTCTAAACAATAGATCGGAATTTCTAAACAAACAAGTAAAAATTTCTGGAAATTAAATCAGGATTTAAAAAAATAAGTTGGAATTTCCGGAAAATAAGTCATAATTTCAAAAAAAAAGTCGGAATTTCGGGAAAATGAGTCACAATTTCTAAAAAAATAAATACAAATTTGTGAAAAATAAGCCAGGGTAAAACATTTTTTAAAAAATAAGTACAAATTTCTGGAAAGTAAGTCAGATTTTCTAAAAAATAGGTCCGAACTTCTAGAAAACAAGTCGAAATTTCAAAAAAAAAAAACACAATTTTCCACTCCAGACATCGACGATTACTTCTTTACCGTTCAGAAAGTCTAGTTTCCCTTTAACACGGGCATATTTTAAATCACTAAAATGGTACCTTTCACGCTGTCGAACGGACGTTTCGGTTTCGCGCACAACATCATCATCCGGCACACCTGGGCGGGTTCGACGGCCTCTTCGAGCAGCGCTATAATGGCGTCCGCATACTGGTCGATGAAACGGTCGCACTCGCTCCTCGTCGTTTCCGGAAAAAAGGCGCACACCGTCTTCACCACTATCTTGATGTCGTCGTCGGTCGTTTTGTCCTGCAGGGCGTCCTCTATGTTCTTCATCACGTACTCGCAGAGTATGCACTCGATCCCGCCCACCCGTTTGTCGGCGACCGCCATCCCGTCGACCGTATCGTCGGGAATGACGTTCGTCTCTGGATATAAAGCAATATTTCCGAATGTAATGATAATAATAATAGTTAATATAACATTAGTAAAGTAATTCACATTTTAATTAATATTCTCCGATCGAAACTACACGAGATCGCCAGACTTTAGGCAAAAGGAAATTCTGTCGATAAATGTTCTTTCCTTAGTAGTTAACAAATGAAAAAAAAAGAAGTCGGTACTTCTGCAAAATAAGTCATCATTATAAGAAAAGGTCAAAAAGTCTGACTTTCTAGAGAATAAGTCACAATTTTCTAAAGAATATTTCGTAATTTCTGGAAAATAAGCGAAAATTTTCATAAAAAGATCACATTTTCTAATAAATGAGGAAAAATTTCTTGAAAGTAAGTTAGAATTTCTGGAAAACAAGTTAGAATTTTCAAAAAATCACAATTTTCGATTGAAGTTAGAATTTCTAAATAATAAATCGTAATTTCTGGAAAACAAACATTTCTGCAAAATAAGTAAAAGTTTCTAAAAAAAAGGGAATTTCTAAAGAATAGGTCAGATTTCAAAAAGACCACAATTTTTTAATTGGGTCATAATTTCTAAAAAATAAGTCGAAATTTCTAGAAAATAAGTCAGAATTTATAAAAATAAGTCCTAATTTTTAGATAACAAGTCAGAATTTCTAAATTGCATGTCGTAACTGTTGGAAAATAAGTAAAAATTTCTAAAAAATAAGATGGCATTTCTGAAAAACAAAACATAGTTTCCAAAAAATAAGTCATAATTACTTAATTAAGTAAAAAATTCTGAAAAAAAATTGGCCGGAAATTCTAGAAAATAAGTCAAACTTTCTAAAAAACAGGTCAAAAATTTTGACTTAGGTAAAAATTCCAAAGAAAGAAGTCAAAATATCTTCAAAAGGTTAGAACTTCTAATTCAAATCATAATTTCTATAAAATAGCTCATAATTTCAAAAAAAATGTTCATAATTTCTTGTAATTAAATCGTAATTTCGAAGGAATCACAATTTTCGACTTAAGACACAATTTATAAATAATAAATCGTAATTTCTAGAAAATAAGCAAACAATTCAAATTTCTATAAAATAGATCGGTATGTCTAGAAAATAATTTCTAAAACCCAAGTAATAATATCTGGAAATTAAGTCAAAACGTTTAAAAAATGGGTGAGGATATTTAGAAAACAAGTAAACATTTCTGGAAAATAAGTAAGAATTTCTAAAAAAATAAGTAAGAATTTGTAGAAAAAAAGTCAGAATTTCTTAGAAAATCACAATTTGTGCCTTAGTGAGAATTTCTAAATAACTTGTAATTTTCGGAAAATAAGTCATAATGTCCAAAAAAAAGTCAACATTTCTGGAAAATAAATCAGAAACTTCTAAAAAATAATTTCTACAAAATTAGTCAAACTTTCTAAAAAATGAATAAGAACTTCTTAAAAATAAGTCGTCTTTTTCAAAAAATAGGTAAGAATTTTAGAAAAATAAGTTGTAAAAAATAAACCCATAATTTAAAAGAAGCGACAATTTCCAATTTTAGTCATAAATTCTAAAAAACAACTCCAACTTTCTAGAAAAAAAGACAGAATTTCTAAAACAGAAGTCACCATTTTTGACTTAAGTCGTGGTTTATAAAAAAAATCGAAATTTCTAGAAGAAAAGTCTGAATTTCTAAAATAAAAGTCACAAATTTTGACTTAGGTCGTGATTTATAAAAAAAATCGAAATTTCTAGAAAATAAGTCGAAATTTTGGGAAAATAAGTCATAATGTCCAATGTTCAAGCTAAGTCGTAATTTTGAAAAAATAGGTAAGAATTTCGGAAAAATAAGTAATAATTTCTAAAAAATAAGCCACAATTTAGAAAAAGTGACAATTTCTAAAAAATAGGTCGAAATTTCTAGAAAATAAGTAGCAATTTCTTAAAAAATCACAATTTGTGATTTAAGTGACAAAATTTCAAAACAAGTCATAATTTCCGAAAAATAAGTCGAAACATTTAACGACGCCACGATAGTCCGGCGCTTTTCAGCGAGGTCCCCCAGGTCTCACCTATGTCGCCGCCGGTCATCTCCACGCGTACCGGCACGTCGTCCGTGCACAGTTTGAGATAGACGCAGACCTCCTGCGGCTTGAGGTCGGCCAAGATCGATTCGACCACCTTCTGACCGTAAGTGTCGACGAAGGCGTCGCAGGTCACCTTCAAAGTGGCCGGGAGGCGGTGACACACCTTCTTCAGCGCCGCCTCGATCTCGTCCACCGATTTCTTGTCCGCGACGATGCTCTCGAGCTCGGTGACGACGTAGAGACACAACGGACACTCGGACGAAGAACGCGCTTTCTCAATAAAGACGTCCACGTCTTTGGCGACGTCGGAGGCCGGACACACCTTCATCAGAGGACACACCTGCGACGGGTCGATCTCCTGCGCCAAGATGGCGACGAGGGCCGGCTCGTAAGTGGAAACGAAGTTGACGCAGGTCTCGTTAACGGACGGGGGCAGTCTCTCGCACGCCTTGTCCAGCACGCTCTTGATTTCCGCCTACCAAAAGGGGCGTGGTCGAAAATATTTTACGAACATTGTCCTAGACGGACCAGAATCTTCGTTTAAGCTTTTATAACAGGTTTTTTTTGTTGAGTTTTGTAAGAAAATGATTTAGGGTTACGACTTCTGTAAGACGTTCAATAAATTGATATCTGTAACGGCTCTAATGGTTTTGTAAAGGAAGGTGTTGTAAATGTTGTAAGATTTTCATTAAACACCAAAAAACAATTTATAATTTCAACTGTTTCCGGTAACTTTATTTATAAAACTTTATAAGAGTCTTTGTAGTTTTATAAGAATAAGATTAATGTTACAAATTTCGTAAAATGTCCAATAAATACTTTAAATGTAGTAGCTTTTATAACGTATTTTATAGTATTATAAGTGCTACAAGTTTGAAATAAATAGTATGTACGACGTACATTGTGTTATTTTACTTAAAAAAACCTTACATTCCAGAACAGTTTTTATAGTTTTTAAGGGAAAACAATTAACAATACAAATTTTGCAGCTTGTCCAATAAATATAAAAAACGTTTTATTTTAAAATATTCCGTTTAAGCTGTTTCCGATACCTTCTCTATGAGAACCTTGGCTTTTATAACGGTTCTTATAGTTTTATAAGAAAAATATTAATGTTACAAATTTCGTAAAACGTCCAAAAAATACTTTCAATTTCGCAGTTTTTATAACAAGTTTTACAGTTTTATAAGTGCTACGAGTTTAATAAGATCTTCAATAAATACTATGTAGGATGTAAACTATTTCCGTTACTGTTTTATAAAACCTTATATTTTATAACAGTTTCTATAGTTAATAATGTAAATTTCATGTTTTATAATATTGCGTTCAAGCTGTTTCCGATACTTTCGATATAAAACGTTAGCGTTCATATATTTTTATAAAAAAATCTTATAAAATGTCCAATAAATACTTTAAATGTAGTAGCTTTTATAACAATTTTTATAGTTTTATAAGTGCTACAAGTTTTAAAAGACCTTCAATATGTACCGTGCGTTCAATTTATCTTGAGTTTTACGAAATTTAAATGCTTTATATTTATATTCTTTCAAAACTGAGTGGATTCAGACCCATATACTCCAGTAATAGGGGAAACTGGATGTGTTATGACACCGCCATACCTTTTTAGCATTTAATACGTTACCGTTTTCTGCAAATTTCTTTGCCAGCCTTCGAAATATCTGTCTGCAGGTTATCAAGATAAGTTGAACGCACAGTACACCTTGACCTACCTCCGTGGCGGGGCTGGTGATCTCCTCCTGAACGTAGTGCAGCAAATACTCGCAAAACGCACACAGTTCCCTGTTGTAAACCACCTGGGTGTGCGGAGGCGCCACTAGCTCGATAGGCAGCTGCATATCCTCGGGCCTCTGGACGTTTTTGGACAACCCCACGCTGACTACTTTTCGCGCGTTCTCCGGCGTCAAGAGGGGCGCTACGTATCCCCCCGCGGCCCCTTTCTTGCCGCACAGGCCCACCAAATCGCACACCTCCACCGGGTTCAACTCGTGGACGATGAAGTCGTACACTTCGCCGTAGTACTGCTCGACGTAGTTGACGCATTCGGTCGCGAACGAGCCGGTTTGTTTGCACAGTCCGACGAGCACTTTCTTGAACTCGATCTCGGTGGTGTTGGCCACCAACTCTTCTCTGACGTGGTCGACCATTTGCTTGCAAAAATCGCACACCATCTCGTCGCTGCCGATCGCCACGTAGCCTATCTTGGACTTGGTGGTGATCTGGACGTCGTGCCGGTGGAAGTTGCGGAAACACTGACCGCTCAGGAAGCACGCGTCCTTCGCGTTCAGGTGGGACCGTAGGTAAGCGTAAGCGTCGTCGAAGTGCTCGACCACCAGGTTGCTGCACGCGTCAGTGTAGCTGCCCAGCTTGCGGCAGGCCTGTCCGCGCGAAGCAGACGCGTTTACTTTTTAATAGTTTTTTTACAAAGATTTTTTTTAATTTCAAAGAAATTTCAAATACAATTCTTGTTACGAAACTTCTGGATTCCTCCTGCGTCGGTTTTTGCTGACGTTTCGCCAATCATCCTGTCGACTTCTTCAGAGCTTAAGTGAAACTGCTTTTATGAGCCGTTCATTTTAAAAGTGACTTAAGTCCATTTATCTTTGATGTGAAATACTTAAGGCTTTGTGTTTTAAGAGATTTAATTTTATGCATCCTATTAAAAAGTCGCTATTATTAAGTGTATAATATGCTTGCTTATCTTAAAAGAGCTTAGGTCCGTTACATACAGCTTAAAAAACAAAAAGAGATGAACTGACGTGGCTTTTACTTGATGAAATCCATTTATCAAAATAAATAAGAACTAAAAGTTCAGATTTTCACGAAATTAAATATTTTTACAAGACAATTGTTCCGACAACGCCGTGTCTTTATCAAATTTTGATTGATTGATAAATACACGGTGTTGTCGAAACAATTTCAATATAAAAATATATAAGTTCCAAAACATTTCGAAAATACGATTTCTTTCTCTTTCATTTAAATTTTTCAAGCAATCTTTTCGGCAATGGCAATCTTCAATTTGAAAAATTTGAATAATTTTTCCCGATTATGTATCGTATCTTTTCCATGAATTCCGTTTAATTTTAGGAATTTTCCGAATTTGTGATTTGTAAATTCTCATTTTCAATTACTTCCTCTTCTTCTGTTGAAGAAAAATAAAATATTATTTTTTTAATTGCAATTTAATATCAAAACTTAATTTTTGACATCGTCAATAAAAAGTGGACTTAGGTCACTTTCAAAATTAGGATTTTCAGTATTTATATATTATTTTCAAAATGTACGTGATATAAAATTTTCAAATGTACGAAGTATATTTCAATACCGATTTATTTTTTTGACAGTTCAGCATAAATTACAAATGCCACAAGTGCCAACTTGATGAAAGATATATCGTGTTAGGGGGCGGAGCTAAATAAGGGTCATAAAAAACCGTCTCGGATGACTGATTCCCATATTCGTCACAGGTAAAGGACAAGTGGTAAAATGTTTTAAATATAAGGAAGGACAACAGTGGCAATTTTGGGATTGCTTTTGGTCTCATTGCTATTGGGAGGTTGTGATGCATAGGTTTTCGGTAAACACTAATGACCCAATGATAGGTTTGATTTTCTATCGATAAGAATATCTAAGAATATAAAATTCTTGCATGCAAACATTTCTCCAACCCGCGGAAAATCCGAGAGTCTATAGAAATAAGCAACCTAAGAACCTTAACCGCGACTCAGGTCTTTACCTGTCACTAATATGGGAATCAGTCAGCCGAGAAGGTGTTTATGCCCCTCATGTAGCTCCGCCCCCCTCGAACAATATATAAGCAAGGACAGTTTCAGTCAAGCTCTGAAGAAGCCAAGAGGATGATTGGCGAAACGTTTGCAAGTTCGCCCCAACAAAAACCGAACCAAAACCCAAAATCTTGCGAAACCGTGTGGAAATCACTGAATCGTGAAATTCTGTCGCACTTTTTACTATAGCGGTTAACCCTTCGATTTCCCATCATACCTGTTTTTCTATGAAAGCTCCCAACGTTTTTTTTTTATCGTTTCGACTGTGCATAATAAATATTTTGTGTTTAACGTTTTAATTTTTCTTCTATAATGTTCGACTAAACCTTAAATTTGATCAAAAATGATTATTAGCCTCAATAATTGCGATAGCAGCCCTTTCTTGAGTCCAACTCTGACCACAGAAATTTAATATGTGGTCTGTGAAATTGTGATTAAGATTCAAGCGAAATCCCGCGAAACCTCGTGCGAAATCCCACAATATTCTGCAAAATCGTATGAATTACGAGATACTGTCGCAATTTTTACCATGGTGGATAACTCCTCGCTTTTTCATCATATTATATTATATTATATTATTATTATCTATTATTATATAATTTAATGCATAGTTTTCCTAAGAAAGTTCTAAATGTTTTCTATTATATTTTTTAATATTTTGTGTGTAACGTTTTGATTTTTCTTGTATAATATTAGAATAAACCTTTAGGACTTTGACCCAGAAGTATAATTAGTGATCCCTGAAATTATGATAGGTGATGCGAAATCCCTCAAAATCTTGCGAAATCCCGCGAAATCCTACAATAACATGCAAAATCGTGTGGAGATACTGTCGCAATTGTTACCACGGCGCTTAACCCCTCGCTTTTCCATCATACCTCGCCGATCTATTATCATATAATTTAACGGTTTAATTTTCCTTGCACAATATTCTAATAAATCTTTAAGCTTTCAACCCAGAAGTTTAATATGTGGTCTACGAAATTCTGATAGGTGATTAAAATCATTTCACGCGAGACCCCGCGAAATGTTGCGAAATCCGTCGCAATGTTGCGAAATCCCGCGAAATGTTGCGAACTCCGGCGCAATATTGCGAAATCGGCGGTTAGTTTCCATAAAAATTTTAACCAGAAAAAAAAGTATGCCGACCTTGAGCGCCGCATAGAGGACGTCGTCCTTGTTCGCCGCCTCGAACTTCCGCACCACGACCTCCATGGCCTCGTTGCAGGAGTCGCACTTGTCGTCCTTCAATTCGCCGGCCTCCGCCAACAACCGTCGTACGGTGGCGCTGTTGCACAAGCCGGCGACAGAGCATACGACCTGGGGGTTCATCTCGGAGGAGAGGGTGTCGATCAGGTCGGGGATATACTCGTCGGCGATCTTGTCGCACTCGACGACGATTGGTTTGAGCTTCAGGAGATCGCAGGAACCCTCGAACACCTCCTTGATCAGTTCTTGAGTCTCGTTACTTTCGAGCTGGTCGCGGGCCTGTTTCACCATGTCCTTGCAGGTGTCGCAGATGCTGGTGGTGTCTGGTGGAAGCCGCTTGTGGATCCAGACCGTTTGGATGCAGTGTTTGGTGGCGCGACATCCAGCGGCTGACCTAAGGCGAGAATGACGTTTCGGGGCGAGTTCAATATGTCCACCGGACCAATCGGATACAGAGACCGTGGACGCAAGTGGGCGTTCAACAGGACGAAAAAAAAAAAAGATGATTCACGTGACCGCATGTAATGATGGGTTGCGAGAAGGTTGATGGGGGTGGGGTGAGGATGAGAGTTGAGGCATGGGGTGAGAGTAGGTATGTTGGTGCTAAGATAGGTGGTGGATCGAATGACCTTGACCGGACCAATTTTCACTGATATGAACCTTAACGGCCGGAATTGCTGTTGAACTGTCACTATACTACTATTTACTATATACACAAGGCCCCAATGGTGTTCAACGCATATCGAGTGATATACAGTGTGTCCAAGATAAGGATGCACAGCATGGGGATCTCGGAAACTATAAGAGATACAGTGTCGGTTAAATTAGACAAAAGTTGCGCATTTTGATACCGAACAAGATCCCGTTTTACAAATTTGAAAATTCCAAGCCGTTCCGGAAATATCCGAGAAAAACCGAAATATTGCGATTTCGTTTTTATTATTTTTTAAAGCTATTTGAAAAGATATGAAAAAACGGAAAACACTTTTCCATTGGCACTTTTTAATCTCTCCAAATTGACGTTAACAACTTTTCATTACAGCGTTTCGATTCCATGGAACCACCATCAACTTTGATTTTTCTTACGGGACGGAAAAAAAGTACACACAGTATTAGGTTGTGCTTTTCATTGCGAATTCAACGATGTACGATACAATACGGTTACTTATGTTTTTATCCGGAAAAATGGCTTTTTAATACATTTCTAGTATTTTATTGTAGTAGGCCATGAGATCCGAACGATGAAAGGCAAAAGAAAATGGTTGACAAGTTCGAGTTAATGTGTTTATTTATTTACTAACTCTAACTGTTCATTTAACATAACAACTAAATCCAACAAGTTAATGAAAAACAAATTCTATAACAAATGTTCGAATAAATGACCTCCATTTTCTAGGCATAAGTACGCCCGTCTCACGGTAGACTCCAAAACACGACTTAACATTTCAGGAGTAATTTTATTAAACGCTGCTCGTACTGATTGACGTAATTGTTCCTCGTTGTCAAAACATTCTTTGAATACCTCATTTTTTATGTAGCCCCATAAGAAAAAGTCCAAGGGAGTTAAATCCGGGGACCTTGGAGGCCAAGGTGTTTCACTGTAAGTCCCAATGTATTTTCCATCAAACCGTTGAGTTAAATATTGGCGAACTTCTCTGGAGTTATGGGCTGGGGCACCATCTTGTTGGAACCAGCAGCCTTGCACAGCGCCTAGCGGTAAATCATCTAAGGCATCTTCTAAATCGTGCCTCAAGATGTCAAGGTACCGCTCGGAAGTTAAGGAATTATTATATAAAATAGGGCCTATAATCTTGCTACCAAAAATCCCACACCAAATATTAAACCCAAAGCGAACTTGATGTCTGGATAGTCTATTAACACGTGGATTTTGTTGCGACCAATAGTGTGTATTGTGCCTGTTATAAATACCGTTATTGGTCACCATACTTTCATCAGACCAAATCACTTTATATGGAAAATTAAAACTCTCACCACACATCCTGGTATACCACTCACAAAAATGTCTACGTCGTTCGTCGTCACCCGGTTTTAATCCTTGACATATTCTGAATTTGTAAGGCTTAAATTCATTTTTCCTTAAAATAAACTGAGCTGTAGATTTAGCTACCCCATTCTGGTCTTCAATTTCTCTGGTAGAAGTTTGTGGATTTTCGATAACAGATTGTAGAACAATGTATTGGTTTTCTTCATTGGAAGGTTTTTGTCGGGATAATGCAGGCTTCTTAAATGATCCATATTCTTTCAGATTAAATAACAAACGCCGAAAAATACTCTTGTCAGGTTGTCTCCGCTCTGGGTATTTGTTAGAATACATACGCTCGGCTTCCACACAATTTCTTTGGCATCAGATGTAGCAAGACAGCATATCACATTTTTCTTCGTTTGTAAAATTACCTCCCTCCATTGTAGAACAAAATAAATTAGAAAAAGACAACAACAATAAAAATACAAAAACAATAACTAAAGGAATAAACTTATGATCGACTGATAACAAAGACAAATAACATTAATGTGTCATTGAAATTGACTGGATGTCATTTTGTCATGGCCTACTCCATTTAAATGCTGAAATGTATTAAAAAGCCATTTTTCTGGATAAAAACATAAGTAACCGTATTGTATCGTACATCGTTGAATTCGCAATGAAAAGCACAACCTAATACTGTGTGTACTTTTTTTCAGTCCCATAAGAAAAATCAAAGTTGATGGTGGTTCCATGGAATCGAAACGCTGTAATGAAAATTTGTTAACGTCAATTTGGAGAGATTAAAAAGTGCCAATGGAAAAGTGTTTTCCGTTTTTTCATATCTTTTCAAATAGCTTTAAAAAATAATAAAAACGAAATCGCAATATTTCGGTTTTTCTCGGATATTTCCAGAACGGCTTGGAATTTTCAAATTTGTAAAACGGGATCTTGTTCGGTATCAAAATGCGCAACTTTTGTCTAATTTAACCGACACTGTATCTCTTATAGTTTCCGAGATCCCCATGCTGTGCATCCTTATCTTGGACACACTGTATAGGTACTGGTGATAAAAATCTCTCGAGAAACTTAAATCCGATGAGTAGTGTCAACGAAAACTGAATATTAAACATGATTTTACGTAGTGCAAAATGTACTGTCATCTGCCAAGTTTTGTTAAAAAATGAATCTGGAAAAACGATATCCCATGTAAATTTTTTGCTAGCTCCCCTGAATGTTTTATCGCAAATTTGTAATATAACTTTTTGATGAGTTTGAATACATTTGGCGGCGCAGTACGTGGCTTACGTTAAGTTTTGACACCAGAACGATGGGCCGTAAGTGCATTCCTTTTCGCCGAGCAGGTGGTGCGTCCTGTGGCCCGGCCTGGGGGGCACGAAAACGCCGCTGCTCAGAGCTGGAACATCAAAAATCGATTCGGAATTAAACCTTTTACATAGTTTTTGTAAACGTGCAAAATAGGAAGGGTTTTGTTTTTACATTGGGATTTACGGATTTAGAATTTTTAAAAAATTAAAAACCGCATTTGGAGGGTATCGGGAAAAAAAAATCAAAAATGATATATGCGATCGAAAAAATTCTCGAACCAGAAGACGCCCGAGATCCCACCCAAAATCATTTATTCTTGATGATTCTTTTTAAAATGTACGGGGTGTGCCGCAAATTGCAAAAAACTGAAAATTGGGTTCTCCTTATAAGGATAATTGATCATCACTAGAAGGCTGTGTTTCGGTTGCCATTTTCTTTCATGGGACCGTATAGTTCGTATGGACTGCTAAAACTTTCATATTTTAGATTTTCACATATTGTACAGGGTGTTCGAGATATGCTGTACCATATCATATAAATATCATTCGGGAACGCTATTGTTTGAACAAATTTTAATATTTAACAAAATTTGCGGTAACTTTGAAGTTCGGCGAGACTTGAAAGGCACCTTATACAGGGTGTATGCAAAATAAAATCGATTTAGCGAAAGTTCCATAGTGGTCCACAGGAGCACGATAGAAAAACAATACTTAGAAGAGTTCTGGCTTGGTTTTATGACCGACTATACTTTGTGGAACTTTGAACATTTTCGGAGATAAAAAATACTCTTTAAGAAATTTTCCAACAAACAACCCGATATAAAATAATATTTTTTTTCGCAACAACTCTTGAATTTTTGCTTGCGGTCCCTTATTAAATTGCTTTATCATAATTTAGTATTAGAATTAACTTATCGCGTACAGAGCGTTCATAAGATAAGGCCCAATTGGTTAAATATAAAAATCCATATTACGTGGGAGTTTTAACCCATATTATCCCAAGCGTAAAAAAAAATTAAAAAATACTTTTTTGCTCTGAAATGATTTATTTTGTTGCACTTAAGAATACATTACATGTGTCGAACAAAAAATAAAACTTCAGGTAAACCTGCTACTATCGCACCGAAAGTAATGGTCAGATGATATTTTAATAGATGGCGTTAGTGGTAGGTCGTTCCGGCAATATTTTACCGACATTCTCTATGGTTTGCTTTTTTTATTTTTACTGGGGAATCCCCGTAACTGCTTTGTCGATATAAAACAATAATTTATACGTCATTATCTAGTTCATTTCTTATCTGATTAGATTCTTTTTTATTATGTGACGTTGTGAGTTGAGCAAATATTAACGAATATGCAAAATTGCAGTGATGAGTCAGATGTTGATAAATCCCCACGAAGAAAGAAGAAAGTTATGAGATATGAGCAAAAATTTCTTGACTCTTGGCTCAATGACGAAAATTTTAGTGGATGGCTCGTAAAAAGTAAGAAAGGTAACACTTATTTTTACCGCTCTGCACGTGACTGTGATCGTAAATGCGGAATTCAAGAATTGATTCGACATAAAAATTCATCAAAGCACCTAGCAAACTGTAAAAAAATACAAAAGCAACCTAAGCTCACATCTTTGTTCCCATCAACATCAAAATCACAAGATCCACAGCAAATGGCAAAAGCCGGCGAAATTAAACCAGCATGTTTTATTGCGGAACATAACCTTGCATTTAATGTTGCCTCACATCTGACTAATTTAATAAAATCGGTGTGTCCAGATTCAAAAACTGCTGAATATATGTCTATGAGCCGAACAAAAGCAAGAGCCATTGTAGTAAACGTGACAGGAAAAACCGCTGAAGAAAACTTGATAAAAAATTTAAGGGAAAACGAGTTTTCATTGCTGGTAGATCAACAATCAAGCATTTAGCTTTAATAGCAAGGTGATACCAATCACCGACGGCACAGCTAAAGTTTTGTACCAAAAAACTATCGAATATTTTAATGAGAAAGAAATTCCATACAAGAGGAATATGTTAGGATTCGCGTCTGATGGCGCCAACGTCATGTTCGGTGGGAATAACTCCATGATGACTAATTTGAAGAATGACATACCTAATCTTTTCACCATGAAATGTATATGTCATTCATTTGCGCTTTGAAAAATTACCGAGAGGTCTCGAAGATTTTTGCCGTGAAGTTTTCAAATATATATAATATAAAACCACATAAAATATTGCACCCCGCACAAACCAGATGGCTATCGTTGAACGATGTTGTAAATAGATTGTTGGAACAACTGCCGGCTATAAAATTATATTTCCAATCAGCAGTGTTTACAGATCGTCTACTTTCTGCCCAAAGTATTTTAACAAAAGCCATGGAACCTACAACCGAATTATACTTGGAGAATTCTTGCGATTTGTTTTACCAATATTCACAGATTTGAATAAAGAAATGCAAACAGAAAAACCGAAGTTGTACTCATTATATAATCAGGTCTACACAGCATATGTGACAATTTTAGAATGCTTTATACAATCGGTTCATTTAGAACTGACAGAAGAAGAGATAAACAAAACCAAAGATATATTAGATGCCGAAGAAAAGAAAATATTAAGTGTTGATGTGAATGACGAGCGAATCCATTTACCGTTAATGGAAACATATGTTGGAGGAATGGTACCAAATTTAATTAGATTGAAAAAAGACACTCAAGAATCGGACGACGATAAATTGTCAAATTTTTACGGGAAATGTGAAGAAGAAGTCCAAATCAAACAAAGGTTTCCTTTCGATGATAAAGAACGTCTGGCACTGAAGTGTTTACAGATGTTGAACCCACAAGCGATTTTAGGTCATGATTTGACCCAAAAACGTATAACAGATATTTGTCCAGAAAATATAACAGAATTAGATAGAGAATGGAGAAATCTGCGTAATACCAATTTAAATTTTGATAAGACTGATACGCCTAATGTAGAGGAATTTTGGTGGAATGTTTCCAAATTAAAAAAAGGCGACGGTTCTGCAATGTTTCCACTATTATCGACTTTAACCAGAAAGCTTCTATGTTTGCCGCACAGTACCGCTACGGTAGAACGTTTGTTTTCGAGCATGAAAACCAAACTAAGAAATAAACTTTCTACGACCACAATAAAAGGTACCTTGCACACAAAGTCAGAAATTAATAATGGTTTGGAGTTCAATGTGACAAACGACCATTTTAAAAAATTCAATAAAAATAAAAATGAAACGGAAAATCAGGAAGACTTAGAAATTGAAAATAACATAGTAGCTAGTGATGCTTGAAATGTTACGACATTTAATTTGATTAAAATTTTGATAATTATACGAGTTTTCTTATTTTTAATACCCTCCATATAATGTATTCCATTCATACAATTATACAAAATATGATATAACATAAAACTGTAGATTTACTGTTTTTTAATTTTACATTTACAGTTTTCTACAGTTTTTTTCAAGCAAATCTACATTTTTACTCTATGCTGGGGTTGGCAACACTGTCCTCTCAGAACACGCTAATTGTTGTATGTTCATTCTACGTGCGCTGACTTGTCTAGACTTGCAATAACAAAGTTTTGTTTCACAGATAAAACCAGTGGTGCATTCAAGCGCCAGTAAATATTTTCAAAAAATAAACCATAATTAATACTTTTTTTTACTATTTTGGATTTACTTGAAAATGTGATACAAATTTATGTACCGCTTTTGTTTGTCGTATAAAAGACCTTTACTTTACACATAAATTAGCGACTTCTACGGTTTTATGTCCTTTAGTAGTGATAATAATAGAATTTCTAAATATATTTCCTGGATGTGACAAACCATAGAATACGTGGTGCATTAACGCACTACTAGGACAAAACGGGTTAAAGGGGACACCCCATGTTTTATTTATTTTGGCACGTAAATGAAAAATTAATTTGCCAAAATACATCTGTTTTCACTGGTTTTCGAGCTATAAACAAAAAAAAAATATTACAATTAAAGCGAATTAAAGTGGTCTGTGGTCACGCATTCGGATTTCGTAGTTAGAACTTGCCTTTATTTGAGAAATCAAGTTGGTACATTATTTTGCAAACATCTGTTTTACCATTATGGTGAGCGTCTAACAATTGCTCCAAGAACTTGCGAAAGATTTAATGGACAATATCCTCATCGCATAAGCAAATCCTAAAAAAAATTAAAGCAAATTTTCGAAACCTACGAAGAAGGGAACTTTCAAAACCTGCAAATCAGCATATTTTCGTGCATTTCCACATAACTACATTACAATCTCTTCTCCCTCGTGATGAACTATTACGCATAGACTTTTTTGAAAAGAATTATCCGGATGGACGAGTCAAAATTTTCACAGAAGCAATTATATTTTCCAATAAATGTGTTTTTCTGTGTTTTTACAAATAGGAATAAAAAAATTTAAATCACTGCTCAAAGAACCAAGAAAACCTTAAAAAAAATTAAAATTAAACAAAAACTGTTCAAGGTCTAAAGATTATAAGGTATCATGGAATGTTATTACCTTCCTAATACCTTATACATACATCGTGAGTAGTTCTGCTTCAAATTCCATTAAATTTATGTATTTGTCTTGGTTTGATCCATTGTTAAGTTCACCTAAAGCAACCTCATTGAGATTCGCCCTTATCAAGCTGTTAAACGATTAGTTTTTGTTTCTATCCACTGCGTAGGATCTTGAAAACAAAGAGAACAACGTTTTTGACAACGGGCGTTTCGTGGCGTTGTTTTTAAACGTTATAAATAACTACGTTTATAGGTTGATAATATTTGCGTGGCTATCGGTCTAAGGTTAAAGGCTAAGTATTTCCGTCGACGGCTTTATCTTTGGCCCCGGCGAAAGCATCGCATTTCTTTTACGTTTCGGACCAGCGAAACGACCACCAAACACCTTCGCAAGCTTTACCTACGATGATTCACCCGCGTTTCGAATCATTTTCTGGAAAACGCCGACGATAAGAAACCACTTACCAAACAGCGACGCGACGACCAGCAATAGTCCCTTCATTTTGCGGACTCGGTTTCGATCAAAACGCCGGAAAAAAATGTAAACGGTACGCAGTATTTTTCTTACACTCACGAAGCAACAAAACAAACTGAATGACACCACGGACGAGGCTAGGGAATCGGTCGGTTGTTTATCGGCGGACCACAGATAACGAGCACACATCACGGCAGGTAGGCAACCCGAAATTGGGCCGGACGACGCTCTCCGTCGTGTCCGCGAGATGGCGCGCGTTTCGTCACAGCAGCTTTGGAAGGATACGCGACGTCGCCGCTAGATGCCGTGGCCGGCCGCGACCGGAAACTTATCGAACGCTTGACTGCCAAGTTTCAACCGGGGGAGATCGTTTGGTATTCAGATAACGCGCGACGCCCGCTCATGCATATTCATCGGGCGGTAATTAATCATCTAGGGGAGCCCCGAAAGCAACCCCTGCGAGGGGGCGGGCAAGTAGCCGAACGGTGGCGACACTTGCTGCATTGTTCGGCTCGCCCCCGCCCCTCTAAAACAATAATCATTAACAAATGGCATCGTTGCAGATGGGAAACCGCACCGATATGAATTACTGATGACGGTCGCGTTCGGAGGGGTAGGGGGGCGGATTTACGGGGACCGTAACGCGATTCTAATGTAAATCGTGAACGTTATTTAATGTCAACGTTGCTGGCTGGTTGACGTATCGATGGTTGTCGGCTTCCTGATTTCTACAAAAACGGATTTAGGTGATTCCGTTTACGTAAAATCTAGAGTATTTTCTTACGCGTCTATTTTACTGTTAGAATAAAAGCCTCAAAAGGAATTTTTTGGCAACTTCGAAGCGTCACAAACTTTCCACAGACCACGTACTATCAACGCGATCCGTTTGACATTTCGTAAATCTCGAGGTAGAGGGCGCTCATGCAAATTCGAATTCACAAATTCGTCAAAATTTATAGCAGAAAGTGTCGATTTGTATTAGTTTGATCAAAAATACGATGAACTATCTCCGTAGTCATCTAATCAATCATCTAATCAAAACAAAAATTTCCATAACCCCCAATTGTAATGAGAGGAAATAGTAACTATATATAGAATTCTACAATGGCAAAACCGAAACTCTTCGTCAATCTTCTACCCAGGCTCACATCAAAATATTTGAAAAACTAACGTCAACACTAGTGAGTGAATGAAAATATTTAGAATATTCTTGCGGACGGATCTTATCGTGGTATTATTTTCTTGAAAATTTATCAAAACAATTCCTTCACAATCCCAAAAGATCGTGGCCATCATCTTTTTTGTTGACTGGTAGACTCTGAATTTTCTTGGAGGTGCTTCACCCTTACGACGCCACTCCATTGATTCCTTTTTCGATAGAGGGTCATAACAGAGAACCATAGTTTCATCTCCCGTCACAATAGTTTCTATCACAGGCTTCGGTTCCGACCCACAGAGTTCCAAAAAAGACCGCGCACACTCGACAGGGCGTTGTTTTTCAATAGCCGAAATAGCCGACTTTTAAACGTCGATCACTCAATACCATCTCTTCCACAATCGCAACAATATCTTCCGTTATGACCTCCCCTGGTCGACCAGTTCACGAATCATCTTTAAGGAACTCCTGGCCTATTCGAAAACGTTTTGCCCATTCTTTCACTACAGACCACGAAGGAGAACTTTGGCCGTACACACCATCCGGCCTTTCTTTAATATTTTTAGGTGCTAACCCTTCTTTATAACTTTATGACTGCCCTATACTCAATTTGCGTTATTTGCGACATTTTTCTGCAGCAATTTTGCCCTTTAATCTGATGTGATATGGCTTTGGCAGCTGTTACCACAACAATTATTATCATTACTATTATTATTATTACTTTTACTATTATTACGATTTTAGTGGCCCAAATAGGCACAATGCCACCATAAGAACATGTGGTTTGTGTCTGCTTCGCCCCGTCCCGATTGAAAAACCCTTTGGAATAAAACACCTTTATAAAAGTTGTTTTCTTATCTCAGATGTGGCTTTTTTGTTTTGACTGTCCGCTGAGAATAAATTATGTTTCCACGGTTTCCACGGTGACTGGCACAGGAAAAAAACAAGTGCAGGTGTTTTTCCGACATAATCCGTATAGTACGACAGGGGACATGTAATAAAATGTGAAATGTATAATTTGAGGTGTTCCAAACAACTTATTTTGGTTAGTTGGGAGGCATCTCCTCTTGTCATTAAAATGTTGTGATCCTAATGTTTCCACTGCGCAGTGTAGAGATCACAACTACTACTGCAGTTTCACACATGCATTACAGGTTAACTGTCAATCATAGCATATATGGTTAGTCCTGTAATGGTTAGTCCAGAATCCTTCGTAATCGTCCCCAAAAACCGGAAATCGGTTTCCATTATGTGGATTTAGTGTCCTAAGTGTTTAGTGTTAGTTATTTTTTGTCTTTCGCGCCGGTTGAAGGCCGCAACCAGAGAAGGATTGTTGGTTATAGTTTCTTGTACGTATTGGTCTGTGACCAATGACGGACGTCGGTAATGGGCGAATAGCCATGGTAGCCGTGCCCAACTATTTGTGAAAAGCAAATGAGAAAAACAAGTGCGGTAACGTAACGCTCTACGCCATTGTTGAAATCAAAACAACGACAGCTAGGTGTATATTTCTGGTTCAGTATGTTACAAAGATGTTCGGTTACCAGAGCTGTCCTTTTTTAAATGAGTAAAACCATTTTATAACATAAAATTTCAATTTTTACGCTGTAACGCTCTACGGCATTGTTGAAAGCAAAACAACGACAACGGATTCGGATTTTTTATATCGCAAATAGCAACAATTTTAATAAAATCTCGTCTTTCGAGATGAAAAATTGCCACAGTCCTGTAGACTTTTACGTTTCATTTGGCAGCACTGTATTTTTTAAAGAAAACAATACACGAGTTTTAACTTACGAATTAGGCAACCAGCGATGATCTCTGTAAAAACGCGGGTCGTCTTTTGAACGATTGCGTTGTATCGTCGACGCGACGTTCGGAATAATCGACCCCCGTCATACAAGGGTTAACATATATAATCCCTAATCGCCACTATCGACCCGAGAGGGTTATTCAAATTTCACGGCACATTAGGCGCAAAGAGTTGCTCCAGGGTGCGATATCCATTCCCCCCCGCCCCTTTCCCGGCTGTCACGTCAAATTTTCGCCATTATCCGAACCCACCTCTACGTATTTATTAATTAATTCGGAGTTATAGTTTGTCTAAATTCGTTTTTTTTTACTTTATTTTTAACGCAGAATAAGCTGGTATTTTACGAAGCTGCGATTTAGTAAAAGTCATAGTTATAAAATAAAAGTGTTTCAGAAATCTGCCACCAGAGGGCACTTTACTTAGAACAATTTTTTTATTTTTTTTTTAATTATTATAATAACTCATCACCAGTTGCCGAACATAATTACGACAATTCTTGCATGCCAACGAAAAATCCGAGGGACTATAGAAATCTACAAAAATATCAAGAGAACAAAATGGAAGGGCATAAAAAAATACGTATATAATATGTATTTTCAGCCTTTTACCTATAATTTTTTAAAATAGTGAAAATTTGCAACAGTTATTGTGGTATCAGAAGGCTACAATATCTAAATATACAAATGAGAATGATTTTAGATATGTAATATTATAAAACAAAATATTTGGAAAATACTTTCGAAAATTTTATTCGATAAAACTAAAATCCTTGCATGTAATCAATTCTTCTAGCAACGAAAAATCTGAGGGTCTATAGAAATCTAGAAAAATATCAATAGGTCAGAAAAAAATACATAGGAAATATGTATAAATATTGCAAATTTGTAATTATACCAAAAGATAGTCCTAATACCTTCTGCTTGACTACTAAATGCTCACTTTGTATAAAGTTTATAATTAGGATTGACAGTAATTTTATCTTTAATGGACAATAAAAAAAACACTATTTTTTTTGGGTTTCCGTTTTTGACCGACTATAGTAGGCCTACATCTACTCACGTTTAAAAAGTAGCTTTGTTGAGCAGTAAAAGTAAATAACCAAATTCATCGATTATTTGTTTGTTCGTTGGTGTTGAGTTTTTACTTGAACAGAATCATTGTCATGACAAACAAATACTTTATACTGCAAAACGTTCATCTGAAATTGCTTAGAAATGGCAAAATTCCAGGATTTCCAGGTAAGTGATTTTATTCAATTTATTCCCTAAAACTTGAGTTTATTCATTTGTAGGGTTCAAGCTACTTTAAGTGGGAATAATCCTTTCAATATTTAAGTGAGGTTATTGTTATGCGCGGTCAATAGCTTTCATAGTTGGACCTACGATGTTATCTTCGCGGACGTAAGCTTCAGGAAAACTGTGATTTTTCTGTTTCAGTATATGTATCGTGCGACTTAACGTTTGTCGGAGACAATTAAAATTAAACAGAAGGGATTCCAAACGTAAAAAAAACAAGCGAGGATCGAAATGATGGAAAGTTGATTTTAAGGGAGAAGAAAACTGAGCTGACAGTTCACGTAAAATACAAATACATTACACTACACCTAGAGGTCAGTTTTTGGTGGCTCTGTACGGAAATTTGGATGAATTGAGATACTATAAATACCACCGACAGCGGAAAGTTGAGCAAAAAAACATTACATGTGTTTGTATTGTTTAAAAGTTTTGTATCGCCAATAATTCACCCACAAAAGCGGACATTTCTAGCATCTATTAGAATTTTTGGCCCACCAACGAATTTTTCCAACGGAGTAAATGGTTTTTAAAACACTACTTGTTTTTTGACCGTGGTAATAGTAAATGTCGCCATCGCGTCTAGATTGAAGGCGAGAAATGGTGATTTTCATTTGGGTTTTTTCAAATATCTCGAACAGCGTATGTGATAGACGAAAACTGAAAATACAAGAATTGTAGCCCTTGATACGGCCTATAACACTGTTTGATCGAATTAGCTATTGTTTGTACGAATTTTGATTTGCTGTTGGTAAAGAACAGTTTTCTAAAACACCTTGTATATAATCGAAAAAATGCGAGAAACAAAAGTTATAGCGCCGGGTCTCCCACGTATTGCCGATGTAAAAGTTTTCAGATCGGATGAATGGCTTTGGAGGAAAAGATGTTCT